AGAAGCTCCAGCTACTGAGGCACCAGCCACTGATAAATCAGCCCCATCTGTAGAAGATGCATACTCTGGATCTGCTGCTACTGATGCTCCAGCAACTGAAGCACCAGCCACCGAAGCTCCAGTAACTGAGGCACCAGCCACCGAAGCTCCAGTAACTGAGGCACCAGCCACTGATAAATCAGCCCCATCTGTAGAAGATGCATACTCTGGATCTGCTGCTACTGATGCCCCAGCCACCGAGGCTCCAGCTACCGAAGCTCCAGCTACTGAAGCTCCAGCTACTGAAGCTCCAGCTACTGAGGCTCCAGCTACAGAAGCACCAGCCACTGATAAATCAGCCTCATCTGTAGAAAATGCATACTCTGGATCAGCTGCTACTGATGCCCCAGCCACCGAGGCTCCAGCTACAGAAGCTCCAGCTACTGAAGCTCCAGCTACTGAGGCTCCAGCTACAGAAGCTCCAGCCACTGATAAATTAGCCCCATCTGTAGAAGATGCATACTCTGGATCTGCTGCTACTGATGCTCCAGCCACTAAAGCACCAGCCACCGAAGCTCCTGTAACTGAGTCTCCAGCTACTGAAGCTCCAGCTACTGAGGCTCCAGCTACAGAAGCTCCAGCCACTGATAAATCAGCCCCATCTGTAGAAGATTCATACTCTGGATCCGCTGCTACTGAAGCTCCAACCACCCAAGCACCAATCACCGAAGCACCAACCACCAAAGCACCTACCACTGAAGCTCCATCCACCGAAGCTCCAGCCACAGAAGCTCCAGCAACGGAAATCCCAACAGGATACGAGCACAAACCAAATGTCCATACAGTCAGCAGCTCTGAAGACGCAGGGAACGATTCTAAAGAATCAGGTAAATACACGAAGATTTCCAATTATGAGCATCTCAGTGAAGCTCCCACAACCGAAGATGGCGATACAACAATCACTCCAACTAAAAAAGTATCTTCAGAGCCAAATGCCTCTGGATCTGTAGTCATTAAAGAAGATGGGCCACAGGCTCCAGCCACACAAAACGTACGTTTGTGTAAAATCGAAAGAAATTAATCATTATTTATACAGGACGCTGCGAAATCAGGAGATGGAGCTCCTGCAGCCGCTCCAGTTGTTGAAACAACAGTTGCTCCCGTTGTTATTCCACACGATAGTGCTTCTCTCGGATACGGCAGAGGTTCGTGCAGTAGTACTGTCAAAATTACAAAATTGTTTTCAGTCTAAACGCGAGACAAACCACTTCTATTGTCCTGTACATTCCTTGTTGATAATTTGTCACCATTTATGATAATATTGTTTCATAACGATCGATCGATATAAATCTCTATTCCAAATACAATTTTATGAAAAACAAAAATGACTCATGTGATCGATCGATAGACAACAAACCATATTTTTACAATACTCTTTGAAACTTGCGGGAAACAAAGCTCTCAAAATATATTTGAAATAAAAGGGGAGATAAAATGAAAGAATCTATTCATGAAGGACGGATACTCCTATGCTTCAAGGCTTTCATATGACTTTTGTGATGCTCAAATGGAAAACATTTGGCATACTGTGAGAGCACTAGTGAACTAAAAAGCCTCTGAAAAGCTTTCACGAGGAACTTGATTGAGAATTCAATTCGAAAAAAGGGGAGACGTTTCCATACATTCATATCAACCATATTAAATATAATCCATTATTAATGTATTATATATGTATCGATGATGTATAAGGTTTAATAATACACGATGATCCCTTCATCCTCCACCCATTTTTGGGATTTTATTCAAAGTTCTCCCCATAACATTTTGTAATCATCCGTTTGCGCATCACAAAAATGAGTAAAATGATGGTTCTTCTGTATTCTCTCCTATTAATAATAGTTAAGTTTCAGCAATTTCTCACATTAACTAACTTTATTATTTGAAGAGCTATACAACAGCTGAGAATGCTGAAGCCATTACCACATCTTCTGCAACATTAACAAAAGACAGTGAGTTTTAGTTTAGTCTTTCATTTAGACTCAATTTTCTCAGGTTCCCAATCGCCACTTGTAAAAATAACTGACGGTGTTAGTAAAGCCTGTAAGTTCTTTTAGTGTGGATCATAGCAAAAACTCTGACAGTACTAAAAATGAATGATTATGTTGATGCTTATTAAGGGAATGAAGTCAAAACTGAAATAAAATCCGCGTATGATTCAGCTTCAGCAGCTATACAGGATATAGGAAAACGTGATGGACAACCAGATAATCAAAGCTCTATTGATGCTGCCAAACAAAGTTCGAGGAAAGAACGGTTGATCAAAAATGTAATATTTCCAGATGAACTCAACATGAGAAGCACAGTAGGTATGGTTGAAGCACATACAGCTGCTCCTACAAATTCAACTGAGAAAGGTGATCAGGAAACGAGAAAAATTTCTAAATAATACATAATTCAGGATTCCTTAAGAAAGTTGTGGATAGTATCAAGAATATATTCTCGAAACAATGATGAATTGTCTTTTTCTATTATTTTGTTAGTAAAGATTCATTCTCATATTTTGTTTTATTTCAAACAATTAATTGATGGAATGACCTGTTTGAAGAGAAAACAGATAACTTGCCATACCTGTTTGCCTTTCTCTCCATCATTCAAACCTTGTGGTTCTCCATACTATGGCTGATGATATTAAAAAGACCGGCAAACAAATTGGTAAGTTCTCCATACATTTTCCAAAATCTACATATTCAAACCATTGCAGCCAAGGAAATCGAAGTAGCTGTTGATAAAGGTATAGATTCTGTCAAAGCAGGCACTTCAAAAACAGGTTTTTTTCTTCTGTTATAAAGTTAAAACTCATTTTTTGCGTCATCAAGCTGAAGCAGGGGCAAATGTTCTAGGAAAAGGTGCCATTTGCAATTATTGACTCGCCTAACTCATCTATCTTAAGGTGCTGATGCTCTGAACTCAGGCAAGAGGAAATTGACCGGAAAGAAGAGTAAAACTTATTAAGAAACGCATACTTCAAGTAACATTTCCAGCATTCAAAGAGAAAGTGAGCGGCTTCTTCGGCGGGTTCAAGAAATGAAAAAGTTGCTTCCGCTTCTGATGATCACATTGATCATTTATTCCAGTTTCTAATCGTATCTATGTAACATTAACCTTAAAAGGTTTCTAAAGAACTTTTTTCTATATTAAACGAATTGAAGAATGATTTTTTCTCTCGTACATCTCACATATTTACATCAAATGAAACAAATAGCTGACTGCTTGAGACACGACCACTAACTAGCTCAGGAAATAGAAAATGAAGTTTCAATGTAAAAGAATCGCAGAAACCTTACGCATGCGGAAGAACAACCGCTAATTATGATTGTTCATGAGCAATGAAAACCTCAACAAATTATTTTTCGACTTGAAACATCGACTGCGCTGTTGATTATAGAACTCGAATCAAACTGTTTCGAATTCGTTGAACAAGATAACATCATTGAGAGATTAAACTCTACCCACTCATGTGATTTTGATCCTTGAAAGGTCACAGTCTGCCCATACTTTGATGATAATAAGGTATGCTCACGCTTCATTTATATACAAAGTTAAGTTTTGAAAGAAAGACAGCAACTCAACGTTAAAAAGAATTACACAAAACACTAGAAATTGATAAACTAGATTCCAATATCACTGTTAATCAGCTAAAGCAGGTTCTATAGAAGTCCCCAAATACGAACATATTATATATATATATATATATATATATATATACACACAAAAATGTACAATGCTTCATCCTGAATCCCTCTTTTGCATTGAGAGAAGCTTTTACAACTGTTATGCTATTCATTCGTTATCATCTACGTACTCATACGAAGCGAGCTCATCGCCTTCGCCAACTAATTCGTACTCATCGGATGAATCAGAGTCATCACTTCCAATGCTGCTAACAATGGCTTCTACATCAGAGAAATCGCTTTCAGCCTCAGCAAACTGAAAAAAAACAATGCTTTCAGTACATAAATGAAGGTACTCACATCATCATTGGAAGGTAGTTCCAAGTTATCTGATAACAACGGAGCATCTTCGCCTAATTTTTCAGTGATAGTTTCTGAATCACAATTTGACAGAAGCTCTTCCGAAGCAGTAGAGTTGTTTTCTTCTTCTCCTTCGAGGTACTTTGGAAGAGAACACTGAAAGATCCATCAGTTTTGGAGTTCATTTAACATCGCTTACTTCGTTGTTAGAAATCGTTCCAAGTAAGGCGCGCGTTTGTCCTGATGATTGCATTTCATGCAATAATCTCAAACGTCTGGCTAGAGTACACTCTCCCGTGACATCCCCAGCAATAGTGATAGCGTTCTTCGGTTTTTTGGATACCAGACATTTAGAAGGATACTGAAGTACATAATAGTATAAACTCGTAAATTGAACTCATATACCCATGAGCCATCATCGATCATTTGAGAAGTTCCTTCCAATTGGTTACCTTCCGTGTTGAAAGCCTCGAGCTAGAACAACCGAATGAGATTATATATTGATTATCTACACTCACCATGGGAACGATAAGAGCTGTTGGTAAAGAGAGAACTGTCTCAGCTACCACTTGGATTATGAGCACAGCTTCTTTCCTAGGATCGGTTGGTTTGACCATGATCATAATGTCGTATTCGTTTTCAATCTCGATCAAAGTAGGAAGAGCAATCATATCAATTATTTCCAAATTGCTCATGTATCGAATCATGATCTATAGAAAGAATTAACTAATAAATCAAAAACAGCAAGAATACCTGTGCAAAACGGATATTCACTTTACCAATGTTTTTCAGCCGGAAATATTTGAGAACTGTATTCTCATCTCTTATGAAATCAGACTCCTTAAACATTCAATAGTTTTTCTCTTGATATTTATCTTTACCTCTGTAAATACGAGACAAGGTTCGGGGGCAACCATACTATTCATTTCTTCATCTCTATAGACAGGTCTCAAATTATTGAGCCTTCTTGTTTTTACTCTCTAAAATTAGCAAAAAAACACATTACACTGTTGTGCAAACAACTGAACCTTGAAATTTTGTCCATCAATGCGTACAAGATTCAACTCTTCCATTTTCTCTAGAGGCAGCTCGTCTAAGGAATGAAGAACAAGCATTTCTCCGACTTTGGGACAAATAGGCTGTTCGGGGAAGAACTTGTGATACTTGGAATTCTTGTAATCTTCATAGACTTCACATGGAGCCCTTTCAACAACTGCTTTGTTTGTCTCGTCACAATTAACATGTGATGTGAGGCTTACAATATTCTTAGGTTCATCACCAGAAATGATTCTAGTTATCTTACACTCAGTGAACTTTCTCTCTCTTTTCTTTTTATCTTTACGCTCTTTCTTTTCTTTTTTCTCTTTCTTTTCTTTTCTTTCCTTCTCCTTTCTCTCCTTTCTCTCTTTTTTCTCTTCTTTTTCTCTTTTGGTTCTCTTATTATCTAGATCTAAAGATCTTGCAGCTTCTCGTATAAGCTTAGAAGCTCCTTTTCTAGACGATTTCTCGATAGCGTCCGATTGGCTTGAAGTAGTTACTGATTTGGAAGTTATATCTTGCAAAGCTTCTTCTACTTTCTCTAAGCATGTTTTCAAGCAAAACACGGAGCACTCGGCGTAATCTTCCATCATTTTGGTGGAACTATCTCCCTACAAAAAAGGAAAGTGAAACATCAAGTTAGTACAACAAACCGATACGGACGCTTTCTCTAGATTAATCATCGTCTCGGAATTCTGACCAGAAATTTTCAACTGAAAATATTAAGATTAAGAAAATAGCAAAAAAGAAGAGTAGTTCTATGTTTAAATGAGTGAGTATTATCAGTTTATTTGACATGTGTTTGTTTACCTGTTCAAACTCCTTTAACATTTGAAGTTCGGTTTGTGTATAAGCTGGTACCATGTCAATTTTTCCTTCCACATCAGTACTGGTAGCCACCGTCATCGATAGAGATCCCTCCGCTTGGCTTGATTCCATAGTTATATTTATATCTGGATACTTCATTGATTTATTTTTTATCGCGCTCTCATAATGTTTAGAGCGATCAGGCCAGGAGTTCTGCAAAAAGACAATTGAAAAAAATTAACAGCCAAACAACTTACAAAACAATCTAAAGCGTACATAACATCACTATCAAACATATTTGTCTTTTTCGCTTTTTTTTTCGCTTCTTGAATCTCCGAGATCTGTTTCTGGAAAGGCTGAACGTTTCTTCTCATTCCTTCCCACTCAGCTATTGTTTCAGCAAACTGAAAGAGAAAATTCATACATTATTATTCCGGTATGAAACCCACGTTAGCTTCCGCTTTTCTATCTACATCATAGTTAACAAAGTTATCCGAGAATTTTGGAGTAGAAAACGAGAAGGAAGCATTATGCTAAAAAAAAATTCATCGATGAGACTACTTATCCATATCATTCTACCTTCTTATCTAGTGGAGACTTTGTGTAAATCTCATTTTCCTCTTTCTTTGAAAAATCGAAAAGAGCATCAACAAAATGGTCAACCCTTGTTGCCTCCGAGGTGCAGCAGATAGGATCGAAAAATTCTTCCTGCGAATCAGGAGCTGGCATCTGAGAATGAAAACTTTTTTGAAACTTCGAGAAGTGCGTTACATCTGGTAAGAAGGCCGCCTCTAAGTCGTTGCGTTGAGATAAATTACCCTGAAAATAAATAGATTATAGTACAAGGCTTAAAGAACGTAATTTTTTTCTTATTTTGAATTAAAACTTACAAATGCTTCACATGACGCCAACAGACGCTGTTGCTGATCTCTAGCCTTGAGCGCAGCTTTCTGAAAATTAAAAATTCGATATTCTCGCGATTTTCGAATTCTTGACTTCAAAGAACTAAATTTTAAACACTCACCATGACAAGAGTTTGTCGGTTCTCGAGGAATCTTAGGAATTCTCGCAGTTCCAAGTCTGGTGTGGATTCCTTAGAATCTTCACAAACTTCCTCAGTTAGAGGTTCCTGATGATGATCTTTTTCAAGAGCGTAATCTTCATCTTCCTGATATCAAGGAACATCAGTAATACAAATTCATGTACTTGAAATACCTCATTGAAAATGTAAGTTTTCGGGATAGCAATCATGTTATCATCAAGGTAGAAGCGAATCAAAGAGTAATGATACATATGAGCATCAAGGAGAAGTTGCTGAAATGTTGAATGTTGAAAAATAGTTCTTCTTCTCACATAGTCAAAATGATTAGCTGGTGCAATAATTTTCTGAGCAAGCTGATCGGAGTAGAATATTATAATATTAGTTAGAGATAACCACTAATCACCAATCAAGCAGAAATTTGCATGTGGCTAGACCTTGTCACATGTTACCTCGAGAGATTCACATGACAGTAGCTAGTCATTTATGCAAATTCCCGCTTGATTACTACAATTTTATCTTTTAACCAGAATGCAGAACGAAAAAGAAGAAAATCTTACATAAGTTGACTTCTCATCTAGAGTAAACGATTTTCGGTCCAAGTCAAGTACATTATCAACAGTATATGCGGTCTCGGAGCAGCAGATATTATTCCTAAAAGATTGTTTTATGGAAAGATGGAATAAGCTAGAGCATACCTTATCTTACGCATGACCCAGCGAGCAGCATGAGGTATAGCTTGATCATGCCCAATCAAAAGCGTGAGCACTTCACAGTTTCCGGAACAGAATTTCAAGACAACCATTCTCCTGTCTTCGCTCGATAAAATTCTTTTTTTTTTCTTGAACAAAAAAAAGTTTCCGGTACTGTTAGATTACCACGTAGTAGGAACTGCTACTTCTTTCACTTCGACTAACACAAAATCAAAAACTGGGTACGTTGGGAGAATTGAGAACTTCTAGATTGAACTACCCCACTGAAATCAAAGTTAAAAGATGACGGAAAATGTTTGTTGATAAAGAGAGACACAAATTGAGGTTGACAGCCATGGGAACATTGCAGAAGATATAATCGAGAATTGTGATGAGAATCAAATTATGATTGAAGAGTGAATGTCAAGTTCATAAATTTTTATGTAAAAATGAAAGAAAAAGGAAGAAAATAGATAGCCAGTCGATTCAAGTCCGGTTCTGGCAAATTAAATGAGAATAATGACGAGCATTATTGAAGTTTTGCCTTCAGGCTTTTCTCTTCATTTTTGTTCCCACTTTCTCGCTTCCAAACAGCATTTTTCTTGCTTTGTTCTTCTATCTCTCTTCCTCCTCCTCTTTCACTTTTTCAAACTACAAAAAAGGTCACAGAAGTAGAAAATTCCTCATCAACTAACAGTTACTTGTAACCTCAGCGATTCGAGTTTATGTGAGAAACTGACACATATAGCATCTACAGAGATACGTCTGGTGATTGTATAAAACGTTCTTTTCTAAGACGTGAATGGGAGCTGTAGATAATAAAAGAAACTAGGGAAGAATACAACTTGTACTTTCTCGAGGGACAAATAGTAGAACAGAAATTGGAGCAGGAGGCTGGGTAGAAACAGCTGCTCATCAGCTGAATAGTCAATGTGCGCATATGACCACTAGAAAACAAATCGAAGAAGAAGCATGCTTCAGTTATAACCTGAGGGCAATATTACCTTAGGGTTTGAGCTGACCGAACGCGAGAGAATAGAGGTCTCATTGGAGTTCAACAGGATAATAATGTAGTGAAGCCTTTATTAGGATAAGAGGGGTGCGGTGAGAATAACGAAAGCAGCAGAAATAATAATGAGCTCTCATATAAAACCTAAAGTTGGAAGTGGAATGGTTGCTAGATATGCTGGATGGGCAATTAATATCACTGCTCTATTCTTCCAAGAAGTTTCAATATTATCATGAAAGACAGGTAAAAAACATTCCAAGATCCTGGGTGATAGAGGAAAACACTGACAGTCGTAAGCCATCGCAACCAGAATGTGCCTTAGCGCATGCAAGAATCACGTGATTTGATGTTCGTCGGCCACCATATGATTCTCCCTTTCTGTCAATTCTCCCCTATCTCCCTAGTTTCTCTTTCCTCTTCGTCTCCTACTTGCGCTATTCACTCTCTTCATAGTATTTATACATCACATATATACGTTTTATATTTTCTATTCATTTACACAACCGTCAAGCGCAGCATAGTCCTAACCTGGTTGATAGTCCTTCATACTTAATTAAAAAAGCCAGATCGGAACCGAATCAAAGATTTCCTAATGAAGCTTACAAAAATATGTGGATTATTGAAACATACTCTCTCAATTTCTCATGAGAGCAGCAAAATTGAAAACAAAAAAAATTAACAAGTAAAAACTTGTTGAGATTTTTCTCCTTTTGTGCCAATGACCTGTCTACATAGGTCAGAATAATCCTTAAGAGAAGAACATGTCACAGAGGAGAGCGAGAGATAGAGCAGCAACATTAATAATAAGCCAGGCTTATCAAAACAATATCGAAAATCAATAACTTGTGCTTTTAGTTTCAGCATTTACTGTTGTTCAATAAGAGCCTAAGAAACCACACACGAGATAACTCATCTGTTAGATGATAATTGTGATTTTTGATTGGTTCACAGAGATAGAAGAAGGAACTAATTGTACTGAGGAGATAAGAAGAACCATTGATAACAGAATGTGTAAAAAAAATGTAATATAAGCTGAACAACATGCATATACATAAATCAACGTTTAGAAAGTCTGGTAGACGACGATAAATGAATTTTTTTCTCTAAGTATATCCGAGTATGGCCGCGTTCTACGACTGTACCTCACTATGATTACACGAGCTCTTTGGCAAAAGCAGCCAGGAACATAGTAGCTGGTAGGTGCCACCCCGACTACTATGAGGTTTGGGTGTCAGCTGATCTCAACCGCGACGCAGACTTGCGCGCTGCGTCATGTAGAATAGACATCGATTTGCATAATTGCAAATATGGGGGCCTTACCCTAGCATGCAGAGTGAGCCGACGAGAAAAGTCAATAATGAATGTTTAGAAGAGCATCAATTTATTACAATTAAATTAAGTAGCTACAATAGTAGTATAGATAGAGAACCCGCAAGGAAAATTATTTACAGCATGAGACTGGCTCGAGGTGGCAGAAGGTGGAATTAGCATGAGCAAGTGAAGTACAATTTCATTTGGATTCGCGAAGCGTACAAATCGGTAGAACTGATAATATGCTGAACTAAGAGGTGAGATATGGTAGCTGTTAAAGATATCAAGAACGGAAAATGTTTCAAAGAGATGAGATCGAAAAAATAATAATAAAAAGAAATACCGTGAGAAAGGATCGCGTTATTCGAGCGTGAACACTCTACTAGCGACATCATTACACAACCAAGTCACCCCTTCTAATAAATTTTGGCCTGTCATAGCACTACAACTGTAGATCTGCCAATGATGGGTCGAGATGGAATCCAAATCCAAAAGCTGAAAACTTTTAAATCATTCCGCGTTAATTATTTCAACTCTACTTTTGCTATATCAGACACTCGGATCGCATTTGGGAGATCTTGTTTATTAGCTAACACAAGGAGTGAAGCGCCGAAAAGTCTTTCTTCGGTCAACAAATGTTTCAGCTCTGTCGCACACGATACTAACCGTTCTAAAATATTATATTCAAATGCGGCGGCATAAGCGGGTATTTAACCTCGGTCACCAGAGTCTACAACCCAGATAAGAGCATCAGTTTGCTCAAAGTAGTTTCTCCAATAGGAGCGCAAACTTTTCTGACCTCCGACATCCCACAAATTCAAGGTGAAGCCTCGAAAGTCCACCGTTTTGATATTAAAGCCTGAAGAAAAAAACATAGGTATGATTTTCACGTTATTTGCTACCTAAAGTAGGCTCGATAGTAGACAAATCCTCTCCAAGAAATTTTTTAACAATAGTGGTTTTACCAGCATTATCAAGTCCAAGCACTAATATTCTCATTTCCCTTTCCTTTTCTCTCTGTTTCCTCAGAATAGTTAGTAATCCCATGTTGGCTGGAAAAAAATGTTAATTAAACGTACAGAACTCATCAAAGAAAGGTATGAAAGGCACCGAACCAACTGTGGGAAGCCGAATGTGACAGTATAAAGAACAATTTTATTTCATTTAAATATATAGAAACCAGATGTAAAACGAGTCAACAAACAATTGAACACGTAAGTTCCCATTACCACATAAAAAGCAACAACTCCGATTCAAAACACAAAAAGTTAAGTTCTTCTAAAAACAGCCAACAATAAAAATGAGGAATCATCGTTTGAAATTAACTATTAGGTCTGAAAACATATGATGAACTCAGAATCAAAACTTATACGTACCTTGTCCATTCAACTTTGAGAATCATGTGATATTTAGGCTTTCCATTCAATTCAGCAATAGCCCGTTCGGCATCCTGAATAGGAATCATACTTAAGTCAGTTCAAAACTATTTGGGCTAACCTGGCGGCTATCATATGTGACGAAAGCAAATCCTTTAGGTTGGTTGGTAAGTTTATCGCGAGCAATGAATACACGCTGAAAGTTATGACCTCAAAAACTATTGTGCACTGTAGTACATACCACAACTTTTCCGATAGCGGAGAACATTTCACGAAGCTCGGCTTCCTCAAGCTCTTGAGGCATATTAGTAACACGGCAAGTATTCTCATCAGATCTTCGATCCATGTTTCCACGAAGATCCCCACGAGCGTTGCCAATACTTTTGCTTCCGAAAGCTGTCTTTTCATCTGTGGTATCTGTCTCATCTTCCATATTGTACATTTCCTGAACAAGCACCCATAGTTTTCAAAATTGGAACACGCGAATCATTACCTTGTATGGACAACTTGTAGACCAATGGTCGTTTCCTTTACAGTAACGACAATGCTCTCTATTGGTAGCTTTGATCTAGAAGTGATAAGTACAAATATATAGAGAAAAAAATGCTGACAATCTGTTTATCTTCTTGTACGTCCAAAATTTGTTCACCAGCACGATTTCTGGTAAACTGCATCTCAACTTCTTCGGCAACATATGTGGTGGAGACCTGAGCGTAACTAATCAAAACACACTTCAATAATCAAACTTACTTGTGGTCCAGGTGGATCTCTTTCACTTTCTCCAAACTTCTTCCATTTTTTTCTATCGGCAACAACTCGGGGAACCTTCTTTTGAATAATTTGGAACTTCGTAACGATCTTCAAAGCGAATTTATGTATTAAAAATATGACTAAACATGCCTTATAGCGTGTTCCATCGTCTTCAGTTACATAATCAACAACAGTTCTAATACCATCTTTATCAACTTGTGATTGAGCTTCAAGTAGATAAATAATACGTAAAAACCGAAAAGTTTACCATTTTCTTGAACTTCTTCAGCCCAGCTACCCACTTCAGGTGCAGAGCTCAAACTAAAAAAACATATATTGAGCGGAACTATGATGTAGGCAAACATACATGCTAGCACTTGCCATATTGGAGATGAGGATAATTAAAAAATGAACTAAACCACGTTTCTCCTGAAAAATGTTTGTTTGAAGGTAGTTTAAAAACAAGTTTTACGTGTGCGAGTTGTCATTCTACCTTCGAGTTCTTGCTGATCTCGAACAATATTCACAAATTTACATGAAAACTTTAAAATTATATAATTTTAATACAGGAATAAAATTGAATCATAAAGATTTGAAGGTCTAAAGCGTGTCGCGCTAGGACCCATAACAAGTTGACGAGGCTGTTGTTCTTTGGACATAGAAGAGATAGAAAAAGCGCAAGAAGGGGACTTTGAGAAAATCACGTATACATTTAAACTATATGCTCCAAGCCTATGAATCAAGCTCAAAAAGAGATATATAAGCGGCTCTGTTATTTACTGTTATTTGATTCTCAAAATATTCAGAAACGAAATTTACAGAGATGGCCACTGAGATCCGTATCATTGTACTAGATGTTGGTCATTTAGATAAAGTTGTAAGACGTTATGAGAAAGGTTGGCACAGTTTTACCTAGTAGCTCCGAAACACATACAAAACACATATATAGGGTGGGTAGTTCGGTTTGTTTGTGGACCTTCGCTTCTTGGATCAAAAGTTGTTCTGAGGACAAGCTTGACCGGTAAATCAGGCTAATCGGATGTTCCGAAGGAGTTTATATAAAAGCATAATTGTTAGGAGAAACGCCGTTGAAATGGAATGAGGGACTTGATCAAACAAGTAATTTCATTGATGTAATCTGCGATCAAGCTGGTTCTTTTAAGTACTCTTTCGAGCTGAATGAAGAGTAAGTTATTAGGATTCCATTGATGGGAATATTCAAATATTAAGAGAAAAAACGAAAGGAAGCGGGTATTTTTTGGTGATGCCAACGTTAGCCATTAACGGAGAAGTTTTACCTAATGGTGCAGTGGTATGTCAAACGTACTTGACAAAACTGTTAGGTGGGAGGGAAGCGAACACTCTGTTTAAGGGTTGAGAATTTCAGGAGCTTTACCAGAGTGGGAAAAGAGGCTTTCTTTTGCAGCTGAATCTGGATATAATATGATACATCTTACTCCGATACACGAGTTGGGGATATCTAACAGCAGTTATTCCCTGTCTGATCATCATGGATTAATTCAAACAATGCATACTGTACGTTGCTCCGCGTTCTTATTATTCGAGAGAATTTTTAGGATGAAAAGCGTTTTACTTTGACCGATGTAGATGTGACTGTTAAGAATCTAGAGAAACAGTATGGTTTATTAACAGTTCAAGATGTCGTTTGGAATCATGCTGCGAAAAATTCCAATTGGCTCCAGGTAGTTTATTAGATGGTCGCATGACTACATTTAATACAGGAGCATCCCGAGTGTTCGTATAACTGTTGGAACAGTCCTCATTTACGACCAGCTTATGTTATCGATAGGTTTGATAGCAATAGCTTCAAGGAATCAATGTGATTTTTTTGTAGAATTTATCATTACTTCAGTAGAGAAGTTGCACAGGGGATATGGGAATCGAGGGGAATCCCAGCCATTGTAGACAACGACAATCATCTTCAGGTTTTTGAAAACATATCAGAGAAAATACATATCTCTAATAGGCTATTGACTATGTATTGCGAAATGAAGTCCTCCCTAAAGGTCGTATACACGAATTCTTTGAAATTGATGTACATAACCATGTGGAAACGTTCAAAAACAAGAGTAAAAGCATGTCTAATCTTTCTGAACGAAGATCTCATGATGATTCATTCAGGTGAACTGATTTCCTCATGCTCAACTGGATCGGTTAGAAGAGTTGCAGACCCTCAGTGGAAGAGATTCGGTTCTACCATTGATTGGACAATTGCACTGAAAGTATTCAATACTGAGCAACCAGGTTGCTCATCTGAAGAAGAACGAATAGAAATCTGCTCTTCAAATTTCAAAAATCATTTGCTTCACTTGAATGAAGAAGCAAGAAAGTACGCCGCTGAAGCTGTGAATGAAGGATTGAATGCGGTCATGGGTCATATCACTTACGAACGATGTGCTGATCACGGACCCCACAAGGGTAGAGTATGTGAGAAGGAACCTTTGACAACAGAGTAGGCGAAGAAAAAGATGGCACCACTAACAGAGATTTTAAGTTATTTCTTATCGCTTTACGCTGAGAAAAGCTGGGAAGATGATGAAAATCTAGCTTATTCTGAGAAAACAGCATCTCATCTCATGGCTTTCAATGGCTGGGTTATGAGCAGCAACGTTCTGCAAAACTTTGCTTTGAGTGATAGCCAGGTACACTCTTGAATACTTTCCAAGTTACTCTGACGTTTGGGTTAAGGTTTACTTACGACGACAATTAGTATGTTGGGGCGATTCTGTCAAGTTGAACTATGGGGAGAGACCTGAAGACTGTCCCTATCTGTGGAGCTACATGAAAGAGTATACGTAAGAATGGAAAAGATTTACAAAAAAACAAATCATTCATTCCAGGGAGAGTTGTGCGCGGATATTTCATGGAGTACGTATAGATAATGCTCATGGGACACCAATCCATGTAGCGGAGGTTAGTGAGTTTTGTGGTGCATACTTATATTCTTCTTCAAGTATCTTTTACGTGCTGCCCGTATGGTTCGATCAGATTTATATGTTTTTGCTGAGTTGTTCACCGGAAGTGAAGACTTAGATAATATGTTCGTGAATCGTCTAGGCATTTCAGCATTGATAAGAGGCTAGTTGTTATTTTAACGTGTTATCTCAAAGCCTGAATGCTCTTTGAGCGGAAAAAAGGAAGAATGACTTAAGTTATTATTTACCTTCCGTTTCATTCGAGAGTTGGTCGGTCATGTTTATATTTCAGAGGCTGAGTCTGCGCATGATAGTCATGAACAAGGACGTCTTGTTTTCCGGTAAAAATATTTATAATATAGTCTTAAGACACTTTTTAAAGATATTCCGGGGATTGTGTTGGTGCTCTGATTCAGAAATCGGCTCGTTTAGCTCCTTCCGTTGTTGCTAATGGTTTGTTTTTTGATCAAACACATGACAACCCTAGCCCTATTCAGGTTAGTCATCTTCGTAATTAATTTGAAAAGTTTCCTTTGCAGGTGAGATCCGTGCATGATGTACTTCCAACGGCTGCCATGGTTTCTATGGCAACTTGCGCTACAGGTTCAACCAGAGGATATGATGAACTTGTTCCTTTTCCGGTCAATCGATCTTATCAAGATTTTTCACGATTGCTGTGTTTTTCAGATCAATGTAGTTACTGAAACTCGGCCTTATCATATATATGAGAAAAGCAGTTTAGAAACTGTTGGGATCGTTAAAGCTAGAAAGTTGTTGAATGATTTACATGTTCATCTTTCGAAAAACAACTACTCCCAGGTGAGATTCTAAGGAACAACTTCTTGAATCAACTTAATCACAGGTTTTTGTTGATCAAATGAATCCTGATGTTGTTGCCATCACCAGACACAACCCTATAAACCATTCGACTATCATCGTAGTCAGTCATACACTTTTCGATAAAAATGCTTTCAAGCATGGAGTGAACGTCAAACATATACCAATCGGAGGTTTGTTCTTGGTGCAGCTGGAAAATTGAAATATGCATTACAGGGGTTCTCGAAGAAGTTATGTTTGAAATGAGAGTAGTAGAAAGTAATTCCACGATGGAATATGGTTTGAAATTGCTAAATTCTTCGCTCAACTTCATTTTCAGATCCCAGCGGCAGTATTACAGGGCTGACCAATTATAAAACAGATATCCGGGAGAATTTAACAATCCATGATTCTCACATGGCAACTAAACATGGTGATCATATTGAGCTTTCTAACTTCCCTAGTGGATCAGTCATCGGTTTTAAGTGAGAAACGAATCTCATAAAATAATAAAACAGTACATAAATTGTAGAGTTCGTCTAGCAGATGATCAACTAGCCGCCATAAACGAAATTCGTGATATTCTGAGCAGAAACCGCATCACAGGTTTTCCTATTTTGCTTCAAATATTTAACCAAATACGTTATATAGAACTACTGAATGAATTGGAGGCTCTAACTCTTCTAGATTTCAATCATCTGTTGTTCTGTTGTTCCCAAGAAGATCAGGTTAACGTAGGAGTCAACCCTTACGATGTACCGAATTTCGGAACATTTGTGTATGGAGGATTGCATGGTATATTATTGAAAACAGGAGCAATATCAAGTTTTATTTCTAGGAATCGTCACTGTTCTAAAGAAAATCAGGGAAAGTAATGATTTAGGACATCCTTTGTGCAGCAACATCAGAGATGGCCTCTGGCTAGTGGGATTCATAGTTAATCGGTTGAGAAAATATAATGGTCTCGAAAAGGTACTCGCTCATTCGTTTTCGACTTCATTATACTAAATTATTTGAAGATTGCTGATATTTGCGATAAATGGCTTGGCCTACTTGATAAAGTCCCATATTATTTGAGACCATCCTATTTTGAATCTGTTCTATCTCTCATATATGATAATGCGCGTTCTGTGCTTCTTAAAAAGTTGAAATGGTATGTCAATTCTTTACTGTATTTATACCAAAGCGCGATTTTCAGTGAGTCGTCATCTTTAATCAAAATGCTCGCTCTATCGACAGTGTCGTTAGTTGGAATAGTAAAAGATGCTCACTTAGCTCCTTTGCATTCCTCGATCACTGGACCATCGTGCTCTCTTGCAGCAGGATTAACTCATTTTGCTACTGGAATATGGAGAAATTGGGGTAGAGACACGTTTATTGCTCTACCTGGATGTCTTCTCCTTACTAACCGGTTTGAAGATGCTCGGTAAACTAATTCTTCTCTTCCCTAATACAATGTTATAATTCAGGAGAATCATACTTTCTTTCGCAGGCTGCTTAAGGCATGGATTGATTCCAAATCTTCTAGCTGAAGGCATTGGTAAAGCTTTTTTTCATGGCTTTCAATGTTCTTAATAATTCAGGTGCAAGGTACAATTGTAGAGATGCTGTTTGGTTCTGGCTCTACTCAATTGCACGATATACCGAAATTGTACCTAATGGTGTTTCCATTTTGAGCGATACGGTTCTAAGAATTTATCCTGAAGACAGCACAATCTACGGTGAAAGCACTCGAGTAACTATTCAATCACATTATGCAGCATTTTTCGATCTGTTTCAGGAAGAACTTCTGATAGACACTATGTACGAAGCACTCCAGAGACATTTCTCCGGAATATCTTATCGAGAACGTAATGCCGGTCATACGATTGATGAACAAATGCTAGATGAAGGTTTGAGTCTTTTTTTTTATTTTTTATCTTTCTATAAAGGATTCAATGTGAAAGTGTGGGTAGATAAATCAACAGGCTTTGTCCATGGTGGAAATCAATATAATTGCGGAACGTGGATGGATAAAATGGGAAGTAGTGTTAAGGTATAAACGTTTAACAACAACTGAGTACAACTTCCTACTGTTGTAAGGCAGGTAATAAAGGATTGCCTGCAACACCAAGAGATGGAGCCGCTGTTGAGTTACAAGGGTTGGCAGCCTCGGTTCTGTCACATTTTCATAAGTGGGCAACTGATGGTACTATTCAGTTTAAAACTGTCACACATGGTTAGCTTGAAACAACTACAGTATATCAGAGGATATTTTTCCAGATGATCTGAGCTGGACATGGGATGAATGGCTTCAGAAAATACACCAGAGTTTCCAGCAGAATTTCTATATTTCGCAATCATGTACTGATAAGTATGTTAACAGAAGAGATATCATCAAGGATACAGTGGGATCTTCACTAGGATATACTGATTTTCAGTTAAGGTGTAATTATCCCATCGCCCTCGCAGTGGTAAAATTCTAAGAGTTTCATTAGTGTACAAAACATTCAGCATCCTGAAATATTAGACCCCCTTCTCTCTTGGAAAGCTCTAAACACAGCCGCGGAACACCTTACAGGTCCTCTCGGAATGAAAACATTGGACCCAAGGTAAGCAGACATTTAGTTGACTAATCATGACAAATGTAGTGACTGGGAGTATAATGGATATTACAACAATTCCGACGATAGTGATAGTAAGCAAACAGCGAGAGGATGGAACTATCATCAAGGACCGGTCTGCGGGCAAAAAATTACTCAACAAAATTTGAAAAAATTTTAGGAATGGCTTTGGGTGGCTGGAACTTATCTGAAGGCCAGATTGAGAGTAGCTAAGATTCTGGGAGGGGAATATTTGGTAGATGCTGAAGCCGAAGTTCAAAGAAAACTGGGAGCTTATTACCGATATCTGCAGGTTAATCTATCTATGTGTACTCACAGAACGGTTGCGATTCAGAATTCATCCTGGGGTTCTCTTCCCGAGTTAACTCAGAAAGATGGGGCCGAATGCTATGATAGTTGCGCTGCGCAAGCGTGGTCTATCAGTTGTTTACTAGAAGTTTGCCTACTCTTAGGTTCATAATTTGAGCATACTAGTCCTTTCGTGTGAATTTAGTCAAAAAACTTGCCATAGACTGCTGATATAAAGAACAATTTATTAATCCACTTCCAAATAAACAGTGAAACGGTTCGTATTCATGAGAATGAGCATGAGTTATATTTACAAAATTGCAACAAAGTATACAGGAAAACAATTAAATATTAATCGTCCGTCAGGGCGAGATGTGAGTAAACGAGATCAATTTATAAACATGAAATAAGAAGCCTAATGAAATTAGGCATTAGCTTGCTCACAAGCGTCAATCCAGTCGGAATAAACATCTATCGGTTCAGACAAGTAATTGATAATAGTTTGAAAGTCTTCCGAACAAACACGACAAACAATTTTCCCAACATTCTTTTCCCGGTCCCTGTAATGGTGTGGTGATTGATATTCTCTCAAAAATACTTTCTCACATTTTTACTTCGCAAACTCTTTCATGATTACAGAACGGACAGTTAAACTGAGTGTCTAACGGCTCAACAGCTCTAGATTTTGGGGGTGGCTTTCTCTTGGACTTCCGCTTCCCCATAATTGAGAGAGACTGACGAAATCAAGCTAAGAAAATAGATTATTCTACAGGTAAAAATCAATAAAAAAAAACGACGCGATGATAACGATATGAACGACACAACTACTTTGCGAACGGTCACAACTCGAATTTTGTTCAACTGAACCCGCCAAAAAAGGTTTTTCGAAAATTGGCGAAAACACATGACAAAACAACATCATTACTTGCGCCTAAATTTATATGACGATATAATTTTAGAAACAAAATACAAGACGCAACATTGAAAAAAAATGTAAATATAGCTACAGAAAAATTCGAAAGCTTAGATGGGTATGACATGTAGGTTACGGTATTCAATATTATTAATGGGTCAGCGCATTTGTGTTAGGGCATGTTTTTCAAGTGTTAAATAATTGCGCCGCTACCATCCAATTTATCGACGACTTCGCAAGTGCTTTGTTAATTTATTCCACTATATAATTTGTTTTCGGAAAATGAAAACAGTCAATATACTCCGCATAACTCAAAATATCACACAAATTAGAGGGCTTTTGAAGCCTCCTAGGAACTTACCTTATCGTGGACTTTATAGGTGTTTAATTCTTTTACTTTACTGTATAACAACGAAAAATTATAGAACAGAAGGTGAAACTGTACGAAAAGATGATTTGTTATTATGCCAGGGAAGTTTTAATTACCATCCTGGTTTAAATGTGAGTTCACCATCGTTTATTATTCACATTGTTCAGTCTTATCATATAATTATGTTTAACTGTTTTATTACTTAGGTCATTTACGAGAATGATCGTGGTGAGAAACTGTTGAAAGCTACTTGTGATGGAGTTGTTAGAATCACTACTGAAGAAATACAGCCTGATATGTCTATCCCCGAGATGTCTGTTTATGAACATAAAATAGAATATGGCGTGAGAAAGCTCACTTTTAACGTTATACCTTTCCCGATGTCTCAGAGTTTTGAATTGAAAGCTGAAATTTAATTTGTCGTTTTTGTTGTTAGGTTTATGAAGATTTTAGAACTTTTTTTGTTTACGCTCTTTTAACTTTTTGCGTGGAACTCGCAGCTCGATACTTACATGCGCTTCTTGTTTTGTTTCTTATTTTTTTCAATAGATCTGTGTTAGTAATGGAGCGTCCAAATCAGGAGAAACCTAACCTTGAGAGAGGTATATCTTTAATCTCAATCACTTCCTCTTAATTAATACTTTAAGATATACATCGGATTATGGAACTCATTGAGCATGTGAAGAAGACCGGTGAAGTAACTTCGCCTAAGCTGGTAACTCTTCAAAATATTCTACAATCGGAGTTTTTCAACACTGTCCGTGAAGTTTACGAAACTGTTTACGAAACTGTAGACATTGAAGGATCTCCTGAGGTAGTTTACTTGCGTATACTCAATGTTTCGATTCTCACAGGTTCGCGCGTCGGCCACAGCAAAAGCAACAGTTGCGGCTTTTGCAGCCGCCGAAGGGCACGCTCATCCTCGAGTTGTAGAACTACCTAAAACAGATCAAGGGTTAGGATTTAATGTAATGGGAGGGAAAGAGCAAAACTCACCAATATATATATCCAGGTAAGATGAAATGTTTCGAGAAATTAGCATATTTCGCACATAACGTGCATTGTTTATCTGTGTAACACGTGAGCGGTTGCATTGATTTTTTCTCCTATTCATAATATTTGTGTTATCAGAATTATCCCGGGAGGAGTTGCTGATAGACATGGTGGTCTGAAACGAGGGGACCAGTTGATTGCTGTAAATGGAGTTGTAAGTTATACATGGTTTATCACTGATTAGCTGCTTGTTGTACAGAATGTTGAAACGGAATGTCATGAAAAAGCAGTTGATTTACTGAAATCTGCTCAAGGAACAGTGAAGTTAGTTGTTCGTTATACTCCAAGGTTATTGGATGAAATGGAAAGGTAAGCTCATATGAACTATTCATCACAACTTGCTTTCAAAGACGGTTCGAAAGACAACGACGACGTGTTAATCAACCGAGTCCGTCCGCGCCTGTCCGAAGGTGAAGATCTACTTTAACTAACATAGTTGATTGTGATTTTTTCAAATTTCATACGAATTTCTGTCCTCAGTCTTAGTCTTCTTTCTTTTCCTTTTTGTTTATGAAATGATTTTAACCTTAGGTCTGAATTGTTTGTACATGATATGATCATACCAATAGGTTTTTCCCAATAACAGTTTTTAGATTTAGAAATCTTCATCAATGTCTAAAACATTGCCATCTCTTGTCATATGCTTTAATAGCCGCTGCATTAATCGCTACAATTGTAAATAGGATGTTAATAAAATCTTTACAGAAAATGCTTTACCTATCCCCAGACAATACTGGTTGTTTCCAACATATGTTCCTAATCGCATGAGCAATATCGAAAGAATTACATTTATTTAAGATGTTTTTACGTCTGAGATTATTACGGATACCCCTACACATGCCTTCCACAAGTTTTTGCTCTTCTCTTGCAGCCCACAAACCTTTATCTGAAACTGATTTAGTAGTTTCATCCAAAGCCAAAAACCGTTTAAAAGTGAGCTGAACACTTTAAGCTTCACCCCTAGTTTTTCAAGGATATATTAGAAACGGGCGAGCGTTTGAGGATAGAGGTTGATGGAGGTGGCTGTTCTGGATTTGAATACAAGATAAAGGTCGATTCTTGCTTGAATGCAGATGATCGCGTTTGGAAAAGAGATGAGCTTGAAGTAGTCGTAGACGAGGTAAAAATCCTTCAACATTCTGTAATCTGAACTCTGATATTTAGTTATCACTCGGGTATATGAAGGGAGCAACTTTAGATTATGCTGAAGACTTGATGAAGGCTTCTTTCCGAATCATTAATAACCCAGTCGCTGAAAAAGGCTGTTCCTGTGGTTCAAGTTTCGCCCTGAAAATGGACTAGAACATTACTCGTATAGAAACACTAATAATACAGATTTATATTCTAGTATAAAATATTTTTATTTCATTTTTCGTAACATTTATGCAGTATGTTTAACCAACATATCATATTTCTTGTTGATTACTGTTCGAAAAATAGTCGAGACTTTTGGTAGGATGCTCCATTCGGTGGTTAGGAGTTGTCGTTCCGGAATCGTTCGTGCCATACCGTCATCAAGCTCTGTTCCAAATTTAGATTTTGCTAAACAACGAAAAGAAAGAAGAGAAGAGTACGACCAACAGAATAGTTACAGCCATAGGTTTTAAAAGTTTTCTGAGTTAATAGTTATAGCTATGGTTGCATAGGAAAAAGTATTTTCGATATGGAGCCCCTGTTTTGGGTTTGTCATGGGTAGTTACGATAAAAGATCTGTTAGGAATTGAAAAAGTGCAACTGGACGCTGATCCTTTGAAAGAGAAAGTTAAACAGGTAAGGTTCAAATTTTCTTTGGCATTATCTTGTATGTTCTATGCAGTCATGGCTTGATCGTAAATATGGAAGATATACAGAAGCTATTCAAGTGCTTCAAATAGCGCTGGAAGAAGCTATGGAACGTAAAGAGGAGCTTCCCATCACAAGAGTTTACGACGAATTGGCCAACACTTTCTATGAAATGGGCAAACTAGAAGAAGCCGAGTCTAATTTCCGAATTGTTATGAAAAGGTTTCTCATTTACTAAACATTCTATTTTCAATCAACTGATGAATATTAGGCTTATCGATCTCCATGGCAAGAAGGATAAAGATCCCGAGTTTATTGGGGTGTCTCTGAAGCTAGCCGATATCTTTGCTCTAAAAGGAGATATCCAAAATGCTGAAACTGGATTTAAGCATTGTGTGCGAAAACAGATGATGGTATCTATGAAACCTAGAACCTTCTTCTATATTATTTAAATATTATAGGTTATGGAAGAGCATACCCGAAAGTACTCTGTTGCTCACGGAGCACTTGTTGAGGATAAACACTTAGTAGATACGTTAGGCCCTGCTTACACGGATCCAATCGCTCTGTTTGGAATGGCTCTGGAAAACTATGCTCATTTTCTGGTTTATAATACTGAATTTGATAAATAACCCTATTCGATTTCAGATTAAATACTGTGAAGATGATAGAACTCGAGAAGCTGAAGAATACATGGACGAAGTTATGAAGGTCAGTTTTCTGCAATGTTCAAAAATATAACTTTCATCTTTACTTTAAGATATCATATCAGATCTTCGGGGCTAACTCTTTTCATTCAGTTAATCTCTTGAATAACTTTGGCACGGCCCTCATTCTTCGTAACAGGTATTTGTTTTTTGAATAATAAATCGAAAAACACAATAAATAATTTGAATAGGTTCGAGCTGGCAGCCAAATATCTAAAGATGGGCATTGATCGTATTTTGTATGTCAACGAGTGTGCAGATATGCTTCCGGGATACTATTGTAATTATGCAGAAGCCCTATTCCACACAGGTCAAAAGGTAAAAACAACTGCATTCCCATGATAACTTAAGTCTGCTTAATTGGTCATTTTTAGTTGGAAGCCTTAGACTATGCTAAAAAAGCAGTTACATTAAGTCGCTCTTCCGATCAACGCATACAAGAATATTGTAAGAAGTTTTTGAGAGATCTTGAAAAAGATACAAGGAAGGGCAAAAGCAAAAGCTGGTGGCTTTTCTAGTTGTTTTGTTTCATTTGTTATAGGAGTTGTAATAATTGTGATAAACATTAGAATATAAATTTCTTCTCACTTGTCCCAAATACGCTTTGCTTGTTTAGAACTAGACTCTAAATATATGTAATTTATACGAGATTCTCTAGTTCTTCCTATATATGTATGTAGTCTGCCTTTTCTAGGGGCATCAAGAAGATATTAGCAGCACAGCTTTCATATTGAAACATACCAGATTTTACTCGAAGTGTCATATTCCACATGTCTTCCACCCCCACATACAAGCAAGGATTTTCTGTTGTTTCGAAATAATTTGCATAATGTCATTTTCTTTGCACGTGAGTGCGTGGTAGTTTTTCAGTTTACAATGATTAGACGTTGAGCGGTTGGTCACATTCCGTGTCCTGCTAATTATAAAACACTTAGTAGGAGTAATGGTTTCTTTTTTTTGCCGAACTAGTGGCATTGTGTGAAATGCGTGGAGATGTGCACCCAAAATAGCTAAGCAATTCCATAGTTTACGGTTGATCTCTCGTTCATCTGGTGAAGTTCCACGTAATTTTATAGCGTCGTACCACCAAAAACACAATATTTTCCACATCTGTGAGCTGGAACTAGTACGTTGTTCATGTAATTATTCAAAAACCCATCAGGGACAGAATAGCCGCATATCAAAAGATTATTGCAGCACCTAAACGTCCAATTAAGTTAAAGCAAATGATATTAGCAAATGACTGGAAGTTTCCGACGACATAACTTTTTCAAGCTTTAAGCTATTTACACACTGAGCCGTCACAATTACGCCTTCGAAGCTATATTGAATTTTGGGTATTTAATTGATAATAAAGTCAATCCATTTACTTTTATGCAAAATTACTAATATAGTTGTGACGCAAGCATGAAATTTCTTTAGGCTGGTTTTTGATTTCCAACTTCAAAAGATGTTCGAAATTCATCACAAACTATTCTTTGGGTCATTTGTTTTCATGAAAGAATAGAAGCTCCGATTCCTCAATTCATATAATTTATTTTCTTCTATTTATATACAATGTATTGAAAATCAGAATAGCAATCACAATTTCATCATCTTATATAGATGGAAAATGAAAGATAACATCACTCCTGACCCGCACTTCAAGAGCTTCATCCCATTCCATTGTTCAATCCTCCCGTCATATAGTACTTCCCTTCTTTTCTCATGTGAGTTCTTATTCTTTTCTTTTCCACTAATCATGTTCTCTTGCATCTTCTGAGCTTTTCGTCAAATTTGTTGTTTCCTCAATATTAAAATGTGAATTTCCGAACGTTTCTGTTTTTCTACAAGAACTTCACAGATGTTTGTGATTTCCATGCCTCCTCCGAAAATAGACTTTTAGCCACTCTGTTGATGTTTTCTATTGCCTGTACTTCAACAATACTATTCAGAACTTAAAATTGTATCCGCATCACTTTGTATCACACTCTGCTCACTCTTTTCATCTTCTCGTCTGAAAGAAGACCAATCACTTTTCCATTTATTTAATTCCAGTTGCAAATCTTTCGCTCTCAGAACAACTTATCTCGAGATCTTTCCTTTAAATGTGACTACAAACTTGCCACATTACATTTTTTATGTTCAGCTATTTCCTCCGCAGTTTTTTCCCATAAAAGTAGTTTCTTAGCTATTTCTCTCTCATTCTTTTTAACCCGTTTCACTTCTCTCTATGTTTCCTGCCATCTCTGCTGTTCTTTCTCAATCTCGTGGTCAACACCAGCTATTTTTCGCTGTCATTATAAATTTTTCTTCTTACTTTTTCTACTTACGATTATTCAATAAGAGCTGATGTCATTTTTTCAAAAGTCCCTCCCCTTCATCAGTTTTTCCATCGCCCAACTAATTTGGCTGAAATTTGTTTTGAGCCGGTTTCGGACTCGTTCATTTCAAATCTAAAATAGCTTTGTCCGACACTCCTGAGGTTGGTCAAGTTTATCACTCAAGCATGAAAAACGTGCAGGCCTCTTCCTAGCCAACTTATAAAGATGTTGCAAGTCCAGCCACACCTCCCACTTGTGGTTTCCTCGATTGCCTCCAGTCCACCAGTCCACCTTATTTTCTTCTAGTTCTTGTTGTTCTCTCACTCTTTTTCTTCTCTTCTCTTGCACGGAGCGCCTATATAAGCTTCCTAAGAAGATGAACTTCCTTCCGTCAAAGGGAATATCTCTGAAACAAATTAAAGTATTTTTAGACCACATGGATATTTATATTTTGATTCTCGGACACATTCGTCATTTCGAGATTTCCTCTAAATGCTTAAGATTTCAAATTCAATGATGTAGAAATACCCCGCAGGGACAAGCATTAACCTCTTGAATCTAAGATTTTAATTTTTTTTTCGCAACAGTACAAACCTTCATCTACTCGCCACATTTGTTTTGTGTCAGTTTCTCCTTGAAAATTCCATTTTTTTCCTTAAATATGTACATTCTTCTCATTGACAAGCTTTGCCTCTGTTGTCCATAATGTCATATTTTCGTGTTCAGATGAGTAAACGCCACATTCTGATACTTCTCTTGGCTATTGTTATGACTTTGGCTTTTGGTAAGAGAACAAAACGTCAGAATCTCAATTGCGCATTTTTTTAGATTTATCGGTCGACGACAACTATGATGACAATCAAAGTCTTATGTATCTGCTTAAACGGAAAGACAGTAAGCTTACGCTAAAGACATTACTTCTCACTCAAAGAAATATAGAGCTTTCAGAGCCACAATTCGAAATACCCGCTCATTTCCTAAAGCAATTACTAAAATATCGGAGGTACTGAATGGTCAGCTTATTGATTGATGCATATGTGATCTCTAGTGATAATGTTATATTGATTATGCGCAGCTGGAAATGAAAACAGAGCTGTCGCTTTTGTGAATCTTGCAAATAAAAATATTTCTTTAATCAGGTAACAATCAACAATGTACATAACAATGACTATCCTAAATTTTGAAACCTCCCTCTAATCTGATTAATTGAACGCTGCTAATCTCTCGAAATAATGAGGGTTAAAGCCACTGAGATGCATCATTTGCAGTTTTCCAGCTTCCGATCGCCCTATAAAAGCAACCATCATTTCCGCAAACAAAGCAATTATCACCTTCTGCACTCGAAATCCATTTTTTATCAAAATAATATTTGTAAATGTTTGTCAGTTCTTCTTTAGAGTATTGAGATGTTTCGACTGGAACAAATGGCTCGATCGTTTCAAAGCCTTCTTCCCCAAAAAGTTCCAAAGGTGTGTGAAGGGGTACGGTCAGCTGATCTCTGGCGTCTGAGGTTTCCTTCTTATCAGCAACCATCAAAACAAGTCCATTCGACTAAAACTTCCGTTTTCATTTAATTCTTTTCGAAATCAAACCCAATCACTGCTAATGAATTTCACAAAATGGTGTACCAAGGTAAGTTCTTTAGCATTTGCCTAATATGAAAATATTTAAATTCAATTATGTGATAACGTTTACGTAAGTCCGATCGGCCTTCTTCACCAGTGTTTTCCCCCAAAGTGAATTAGCGTCGTCGACAGCAGCAAGTACCTTGATTGTACCCGAACTAGCATGGTGCTTGAGTTCTGATAATAAAGCTCCAACACAGTCCGTTGCTATGTAAGGAGCAGAAAGTCCCTGAGTATTTCGAATTGAATCAAACTGTTTCCAAACAAACCATTTCCACGATATCAGTTAACGGCCTCCCCTCTGCAGTTTTCTCGTTCTTGTTCCACTCGTAATTTTTGCAAGTTTTGAGTTCGGATAGATTTTTCCATAAATTGGAGTTCTATAACCCTCGCAGTAATGAATAAAACTTCGTTTACAGAAAAACCTGATGTTTGAACTGAGTTAAAATGGCAACAGAGTTGATTGGATCATTGATTCTTCCGGCCTTGTAGGTTGACATTTCAACTTCGGAAACACGTCGTGTGAAATCCATGGCTTTAATGAGAGTTAAGATTAGTTAGATATCTTTTACTTCGTCACACGAACCAGAAGGAACATGCACAACAACCCATCCATTGATGTTTGCATAATGAACAACTTGGTTAAGAGTTACCGACTTTCCAGTCCCAAAAGCCCCCCACAAGACGGTCTTGATTGTTGGAAAAGAGGGCTTTACGGCTTCCATACATGCAGCTACCTTAACAAAACTTGATCAAAACACTGTGATCAGGAGAGAAAACCTCAAAAAAGGAACTTCTTAGCATCAAAACGACTTCACCAAGTGTATCGAATTGTTTTCTGAGCGCCGATGGAAGAGTTTTCTAAACATGAACAGTAAACTAAGGAGTGACTTATCAGCTTACCTGAAACTGTAGCTGAGTAGCCACATCCTTTGGAATTTCATAAAGTTTGCCAGCCTCCGCTGGTGTAAAAGAACTCTGAGTCAGAGTAGAATGAAGAAATTGAATTAAAAAAACTTACAAGATTATCGCTAGATGTTCGGTAAAATCTTGTTGAGGAACGTCGAGACAATAGAGTGACCAGAGAAACTACCCTATTATTCATCTCTGGCCTCCAATTGAAAGATAAAAAAAGGCAAATGAAAACAAAAATATCCATTATAGGATGAATACCCAACAAGGGAAAAAGAAATAGAAAGTAAAATCTTTAATAACAAAACAAAAAGTAACAAAAACAACTGCCATTATATTATTTAGTCATCAATCTTGGCGTATTGAAGGTCAGAGCTGTTTTCATATTCAGCCATATCCAGAGCAACCTCACAGCTTTCGCGAACTACTCTCTTCAAAAGCAGCTAATTAAGAAAAGTTTAATTCAATAACAAAAGAACCTCTTCATCTTTGGCATACTGCTGTAAAATCTCAGTACATTCTTGAGTGGCTATGGCTCCCAAAGCTTCAGCGCATTCATGACGAACCATACAATTCTGAAAGGTGAGCTTGAAAACATCAGACTCGAGACACCGGATTAAAAACAATGACGTGGCGTGCCATGCTCCCCACGACGTCACTCTCATTTGGAATAAAAGACGACGCATTTTTGGAGCAACAGAATTCAAAACATTCTCTTCCTTTTTCATGAGAGAACTATTTTTTTATTATTGAGTGAATTACTTCCACATACCTCAGATGGCAACAATAGTCTATCTTTTAATTCTTTTATGGCCACCGGCGATTGCACTTGTCCTAACACATAAGCAACTTCATGGCGGAAAAGTGCACTATCTTCACAGTACAAACCTTTGATTCAATTTTTAAGTAAAAGATTCAACTTATACAATTACCTTGAGCTAAAGCTGAGATGGATCGATCCGTGTTGATGTTTCTTAGCTTGAACATGGCCTTATACCGATCCCATAAAGGTTTGGATGCATCGCATAAAGCTTTCGATAACTCATTTACGTCTTCTTCAACAGAGGAAGGTGTTGGATCTAAAAATTGATTAGGTTGCATTGTTACGAGCGATCAAATGTATCACGAACCAACACTATCGTAAGGGCTCAATGTCTTTTCATCAGTATTTTTGTGCACCCAGTCAAGTCGTTGTAGAGCCAGCTCGCAAGTTTCCGAAACTTCAGGGATAGGATCCTGGTATTTACAAAATATTTCAATGATGCGCTGCTTAAATGAACCTTAGAGTATTCCACTAAAACATCTCTAGCACTAATATCTCCGATAGCTCCTAAAGCTTCTCCAGCTTCGTGTCTGACCATAGGCTCTACAACGTTCAATCCATAGAACAAATGTTTTTTTAAATTATGGTTTCATACCTTGCTTTACGTCTTTGAGTACTTCGATAAGGGTTGGTACGGCGGATTTGTTCTGCATTTGACCTAAACAGTACGCCAGTTCATGCTTCAGAAGAGCAGATTCGTCTTGCAAGCATTTTCCGATCCACTCAACCGAACGGTCACATCCAATGTTTCGTAAAGCGAACAATGCTCGGAAACGAGCTTTAAGAGGTTTTCTGAGTCATACGTAAGATGAATAAGAGAGAAAGTATACTATATTACTTCGTATCAACCAATGCAGCTCCAAAGGCATCGATCTCTTCTGCTTTCCAGGCACCCATTTTTGATTAAACAACTAAAAACTTCGAGTTAGTTGTCATAAATGTACAGAATTCAACTCAAAAACATATTGTATCATTAAACAAAATATGTAATTCAATAACAGAAGCTGTATTCGATGCTCTGTGGTTTCGGTTGGATGTTAGATTAAAGGTCTAATTCAGAGCGGCCTGTCCATACTATGAACCTTGACGCAATAAGCAAACATGAAAACTTCTCTTTCATTAATTTTAAATCGTTTTCTTACATAATTTTTATAATTATTCAACATCAATTATAGAAGAAACTAGCATGTCAGATGTAGATGAAACCATCAAACGTATTTCATCCCAAAAGGGCGTTGTTGGGGTAATCGTAATGGATAGTGTTGGTAACTGCTCGTTCTTTAATTCCGGTTTAAAAATGACTTTAAGGAAGAGCTATCCGATCTACCATGGATGATGAAACAACTTCGCAGTATTCAACTCTTCTTTACCAGTTATGTGAAAAGTCTCGAAGTACCGTTAAGGAACTGGATGGCTCTAATGATCTCACTTTTCTTCGATTACGTACCAAAAAACATGAAATAATGATTGCTCCAGACAAAGAGTATCTATTAGCTGTTGTACAAAGTTTGTCGACCTGATCGTTCAAGGGTTCACTTCATTTTATCGTTTAACTTTTATTTATAAGATGAATTTTAACTTATAGTTTTTTTCATTAGCCGAATGGGGTTGAAAACCTTTCATATTTTCTTGCTCACATCTTCTTTTATCTTGTTATAATCCTCTTCAGATGTCGTGGCTTTTCGGAATGAAACCTAATCAACCTCCTCCTATTCCTGATGACTTCAGCGCTCAGGGAAGTGCTCCTGGTGGATCAGCTCCTGGAGCACCTGGTGCTGCTGGTGCCCCTGGAAGCGATGGAAAAAATTCACGCATGGCTTACTCCTTCGATTCATCTGCCTTGGAAAGAGCTGCGAAAGCCGCTAGAGATTTAGAACGCTTCCCGAACGCAAAAGAAGCATTGGAATTGAGTAGACTTCAAGAAGTTACTAGACAAAAGGAAGTTGAACAACAGACAAAGGTTTATAGTATTTTTTTTTCGCTTGACCGGTCTGTTTTAGCAAGTTGAAGCTCAAATTCAAGCCATGAAGTCTGACCAGGCCCGTATCGCTGAAGAAGAGAGAAGAAAAACTTTGGGAGAAGAAACCAAGCATGCTAGAGCTGTTTGTTTCTGACTAATATACCTTTGTACTTGTATTATTCAAGAGAGCTGATTACCAAGATCAACTTGCCAGGAAACGAGCTGAAGAGGAAGTAGCCATGAAAGCCAAATTGCAAGAAGATAGTTTAAGAAAACAAGAGGAAAGTGTGAAGAAACAAGAGGCATTAAGAAAAGGTACCTACTCTTCATGTGAGTATCACTGACTTAATTTTTCCTTAGCTACAATTGAACATGAGCTCGCTTTAAAGCATAAATATGAACTTGAGAAAATCGAAGCAGAAACTCATGCTCGTGCTCGAGCTGATCGAGATAACAGGTAAATTTCTTCTGTTTCTATCTTCGCACATGCTCGCGTTTCAGAGACGTCAATCTCGAGAAGTTAAAGCTTCATGAAGAAGAAAACCGTAAGACTGTAGTTGAAAAAATCAAGACCAGTGGAGAGATAATCGGAGCTGGATTGAAAGATTTCTTAAGCGATAAAACAAAAATGACCGCTGCCGTAAGATATATTAGTTGTTCAACAGTTTCCTTGTTTTTAAGGTTGGTGGCTTAACAGCTTTGGCTATTGGATGGTATGCTGCTAAAAGAGGAACTTCTGTTGTCGCCCGTTATGCGGAATCTCGATTAGGAAAGCCATCTCTTGTTCGTGAAACATCTAGAATTACTCCTTTGGAAACATTGAAGCATCCTATTAAAACAGTTTCAATGCTTACTAGAAAAAAACAAGATCCATTGAAAGGAGTTGTTCTTTCCGTAAGTTATTTTTTTCTTTCTGTGAATTTATGTACACTTAAACTATTTAAGCCTGACCTTGAACGTCGTCTTAGAGATATTGCTATAACTACAGCTAACACCAAGAGGAATCAGGGTCTTTTCCGTAATGTCATGTTCTACGGTCCTCCAGGAACAGGAAAAACCTTGTTTGCAAAGAGTTTGGCTCAGCACAGTGGATTGGACTTCGCAGTGTTGACTGGAGGAGACATCGCTCCAATGGGTAGAGACGGAGTTTCTGCCATTCATAAAGTTTTTGATTGGGCCCAAAGTAGTCGCAAAGGGTATTTTTGTTTAGTTGTATATCTAACTTGTTAATCATATTAGGCTTATTGTTTTCATTGATGAAGCTGACGCATTCCTGCAAAAACGTTCCAAAGATGCGATGTCCGAAGACACCCGAGCTGCACTGAATGCTTTCTTGTTCAGAACAGGAGAGCAATCCCGTAGATTTATGCTTGTTGTAGCTTCTAATCAACCTGAACAATTTGATTGGGCTGTTAACGATAGGTGCGTTTGTAATACCATTCAGATATGAAGAAGTAAATTACAGATTGGATCAAATCGTCGAGTTCGCTTTACCTGGAAGGGCCGAGAGAGAACGTATTTTACTACAATATTTCGATGAACACATCGCTAAACCAGCAACTAGTGGTATCAAACATTCATTTGTCTCCAAGTTATCGTCATGGTTATAGGTTCTAGAGGACAACGCTTGAAGTTAGCTGACTTCGATTGGATCAAGAAATGTGAAAGTGTATCTAATATAACTGATGGTTTCTCCGGTCGTGAATTGAGTAAATTGGTTATTGGATGGCAGGTTGACAGCGTTAAACAACTTTACGGGATGTGAGGATGTTATTTGCAGGCTTCCGCTTATGCTTCAGAGGATGGAGTTCTGACATCAGCCATGATCGATAAGAATACTTCTGATGCTGTTGAACAGCATGCCCATAAGATGGAGTGGTTAGAGAAAGAGCAATTAGCTGCCCGTAATAAAGAGGTGAGAGGCTTTCTCTGAAAGGGACTCCGTTTTTGATTAATATGGAAAAGAATGATTGCCATTTTTCACATATTACTTCTCGGTTTTCTCATATTAAGAGAGAAATTGAGACTTTTGACGGCATTCACCAGATTCCTGAAAAGTCAAAAAAGGAGATTTCAAAGAACGATTTTCGAAGGATTTTAATTTCAGGTCAGATTTGGAACAACCATTAAGAGAGAATCCGCTGTATAATTATCTCAATCCATCATATCTTAATCGCTAGATGAATGAGAATCGTCTTCGATCTCAGTTGTTGATTTTAAATAGTTTAGGCCTGCTAGAATTGTTGATTTTAAGACTTTGCTCAGTTTTTATTAGGTGTTCTCAACATTTAAACAATGATGAATATATTTATAATAAATGATTTTTTAGACTTTTGGACTTGATTGAGTATCGGCAGAGATCGGATTAAGAAGAGGTAAAGTTGCTAGGGAAGCGGCACCATCTCTATAAAACTGACGGATGGAACATGTCAGCTGTTTTTTCCATTTCGTTCTGTAATTCGAAATACTCCTTGGTTCTTCATCAAATCCCAAACCTTCTATTCTGAAACCAAGTTTTTATCTGAGTTTCTGTCAATCCCAGAGTTTTGGATAGATAGACACGCTTATTAACAGACAAGTACTTATCATTCTGCAAAGGTTCATGATTAGGAAACGCTACGCAGAAGTTTGAACCTGGAACTCAGTTTCAAGACGTTCCAACTGTTTCGTAGAATATGCTTGTCGGGGCTTTCGTTCTCCAACAGCTCTTCTAGCTCTTTTGTAATCATGTTTTCTGGCTGGAAATAAGAGCGAAACATCAGATTACATCATTTTCTATACCAGCCATCCCTAGTAACATTTGTAGTTCCATAAGTGTGGGTGTTCGCATGTCATTAGCAATCGCATACATAGCAAGTTGATTCGGAGTGCTTAAGTTTATAGGAAGAGCAGATTCAGCTTAAAATAATTTATAAGATCGAAAGCTCGGAGAGCAACTCACGGTCTGGAGAGATGGTCTCATCTCCTTCAGTGGCAGCAGGAGAAACAGGTTGGATTTCGTCAGTTGAAGTCACAGGAAAAGAAAAAGGCAAATTGGGAATAACGTACGAGGGGGATGGAATAATACTGGGAGAGGTCTCAATATCTTTTGATGGATGCTGTCGCTGTTGTTCATTAAGCAGCTCATCTATTGTGAACGGCATGATGAATTTAACAAAACGAAAAAAAGCAGGGAGAACAAAAAATTATAAACGGTTATTGGCAAGAGCGGAAATCCAAATCTGAGTCGGAATGGTGAAATAGAAAAGTGAGGCAATATATCCTAATATGGTGTATATAGCTAGAAGGCAACTGCATATACCGTGGGAACGGTTCTGCATCCAGATACCTGGCGCAGGCATCAGCTAACAGAAAGGGATTATGATGGGAAACGAGGTTGGTCCAATTAGAATGAACATTGAGCATTTAAGCGATTGGAAATTTCAAATCAAGATAATTAAGATATTTATAATCGGTTAAGAGCAGAAATTCTTATCAAAATTTATCAGAACAACTGTCACTTTCCCACGAAAATGTATTGAATCATATAGTTTAAATTATAATAATTTCAATGAATATTAAAATTCCATTTCGAAAGTAGAGATTAAAATCCAAATTGTTAATGAGAAGCTAAAAAGTAATTTTCCGACCAAACGGCTACGTGTGCTCGTCCATTTTCTCAGTCGTCCAGTTGCTATTTTCGCGCGGGCGGCTCTGTTACTGTGTTTCACTGTGTTTTTGCCACTTATTCGACGATTTTCCACGCAAGTCTAGCAACTTTCTCCAAAAAGTTGTCAATTAGCAAATCGGAAACAAAATTTTTTTTCCAAATCCACACAAAAACCGTTCACACATGCCAATGGCTAATAGCTGTATAGGAAAATGTGATGGAACAAAACAAGAAAAATTAATTAGTATTTTTTGGGAAAATTATATATTTATATTAAGTTTACTGTAATTTTATATTATATATAAGCTTCTGTTTACATTTGCCTGAGAAAATTGTGTAGAATATGCCTGTCAATTGCGGTATATTACATGCTATGAGGCTTAAACAGACAAGACATGTCTTTGAGGATTGAATAGATTTTAATGGGATAGCTGGAAAAATTGTAATTGAATACTTTCAAGTCAAGCTTAGTTCAGCCTAATTTGCATAAAAAATCATTTGAGTACAGAAGCATGATGTCAAAATGCAACAGGTATTTTGCACTATTTAGTACTCGAAAATTTAAAAATAAATCGTTTTGTGAATGATAAACTCCTTTCATGAAATGAATTTCATTGGTTAGCAAGGTTGCGTAGTTCAACATGACGCGCCGAATATGTAAAACTGAGTCCAATCCGTGTCCTCTGACGTGGATTTGCATTGAGGCCAAAAAAAAACAAATCATTTTCGATGTCACTAACAAACAGTACGGTTGGTCTCGATACAGCTCTCCTCGGTCCAGTTTTCTTCATACTCATAAGTTTATTTTTGGCGCCATTTTCTGTTTTCAATTTACGTTGAGAGGGATATGGCAATAGATTTTAATCAAAAGAATAATAAAAACAATGTTAATTTGAAAATATTTATTCACATATTATTATTATTATTGTAGAGTCATAGGGATTTTTTGAATTGACGACTGTTGATCTTCTTGAACGTTTTTCAAAAGATTATGGAATAGAAGCAAAGATAGAGGATCATGTGATAAAAATAGAAAGAAATGTCTAAAAATGGCAAGATAATCGTTTTTGTATTAAGAATCAGGTCAAGTGAATCTTTTGTTTGAATGAGGGAACAAAAGAACTCATTTCCATTTTTGAGATAAGAATAATAGCATAGATATATAAAGCTTGCAATGTCCTGAGTTCAAACTGACTATGTTAACTATTACACTAGATAAGACTTACTTTCCATATTTGATATGTCAATTCTTCACTATGCTCTTAGTCTCGACCATTTGAGAAGTCTTTGCCTCATATCTTACTTTTTCCTAATTGGAATCTGGATAATCTGAAAATTTGAAATCATAACAGTTCAACAACTATAAATTATAAATTTTATAGTTTATATTCTCGGAGCATTCAAAACTAAGTGATAGTATCTGTTTAATGTAGAATTTAGTTTTTCTCCATTACAGTACTCTTATCATGTTTGTTGATTTTTGACAACAAGGCGCTTTGGTCAGTCTTAATGACTTTCATCCATTTTCTAAATGAGTAGTTTGGTTGAAATGGAAGTTTATTTGTTTTTAAGGATTAGATTCAAACTTAACAATATTTGCCTGTTTTTCTTCGTATAAGCAAACAGGAAATGTTGGCATTAAACATGAATTGTGAGGTTTTCGATTTTATCACTTAACAATCACGGTGCAATGACTCTAACATCAATCTACCCGTGTCATTTTTCGCCTTGTGCAACAATGAGCTTGTGTAACTGCTTAGCCTCAGTTGTAACAGCTGAAGTTTGGTGCAGCACTTGTAATCTCATGTGCTTCTGTAAGATAACAAAGGCTTAAACATGGACATGTGTGTCCTGTCGACGTAGCAACTCATGGCGCCCAATCATCTTATCGTTTGAGAACAAGACATAGAGAGCACACAAGTACCGAAAATGACACGAAAGGGTGGAGTTTTAAAACTTTTCATAGTTCCGACTTTCCGATGGTCAGTTGGCGAACTGTCTCCAAACTATCCATACACATAGAATGTTACGGTTCCGAAATCTCAATTCAGAGCAACAACCTTTTCCCGTCTCCTATAACTTTCATATCATTTTCCATGAATTTTATGATTTTTTTTTCGATTTTGTAGTGTGTGTTTTTAAACATTGAGAAAGAGCTGCCAATTATGTAGTTCTTCGAAAAAACAATTCTTGACTATTACTCGATTGAAAAGAATATGAAAGCACTAGCGCCGACGCGCAGTAAAGCGCTTCGAAGTTTTGAGAAACGCTAGCCATATCAACATTCTTGAGATCTCTGTTGATTTCTGCGAGTTCTGTCTCACTCTCACTGATTTGTTTGACTTTTCATGTATTTTGCTCGATTGAACCGTTCTTGCTTTTACTTGATAAGCTTGTATCATCTTTGCTAATCAGTTTTGTCTTTTTCATCTTTCCATTCGTTGAGTTCAATGCCTTTCAAAGGGTTTGGCGAAGAGTGAACTGTCGGTTTGTCTCTACACTTGAGTAATTGCCTAACATTTAAACCTTATGCCGTCATTATCACTTTTTTCGTTTTTCATCTTTGCTTTCCTTCATACCATTTGCAACACATGATGTTGTCATTATCTCTCTCATTTTTGATCATCTTCTTCTATAAGAAGGTTGTTATTTTTTCTTCCTCTCCTTCCTGCTTCTTTCTTCACGAACTCATATTTATGAGCTTTTCATACCCTTTGCTGATAATCTATTTTTACTTTTTATGAGCTTCTTTTCCAATATAAAAGATTTCAGTTCGTTGAGGTTATCTGCCTCTGTCGTTGACGTCACAATTCCGTCTTCAATATCAATTTTCTTGTCCGCACTCGGACTTCATCCGGGAGTCGTGCAACGTAAGTTCTTCAAAATACAGCCCTAAATGAAACATTTATCACTGAAATTATCATCTTTTCCTCTTCTGTCCAAGTATTTTTTTTTACTCTGTGTGCACGTGAGCAGGGTATCTGGATTGGAGGCGACATTTAAGAGTTGTACGAGAGCTGATAACGCAATCTGTTCTTCCTTGGATCCCAAACCTCATACTTCACGCGATTAAGACTAACTCACACAAATTGCCCTTTCGTTCTTCACTGATATTGATTTTTGATGAGTGCCAGTGGAAATATTGTTTTGACATGAAAAAAGTTGCTGATCTTTGGAGAAATGGTGTGGATTTGACTGTTTTTTCAGCCAACTCATCTCCTAATCATAAGCGGCGATCCAGTTCGCTGAAAAAGTTAGGACTCAGCCTGAAACGTAGTTCCGTTCAATCAGAATCGTCCAGTACGCGATCTGCTTCAGTCTCTTCTAATCAAAGTTTCTCGTAAGTCTTTAATTGATAATTTGTTTTGCAAAGAATATGATGGTGTATAGATGCGAATTATGGCTATTGTCTGCTCTGCAAGGATGTTCTAGTTGTTCAGAAGACCGCCAGAACATGGCCAGACATGTAAGCCAGACAACGGATGATGAGAAAGATCAATTGATTGATTTTCTTCAAGCTCACGTACGTTCATGTCTCAATGACCTAAACGAAGCGTTTTCGAATTCCAACAAAACTATTCATACTTTGCCCACAAGATTAAAAAAGTGGTTTTGTTTAAATTTCACATTACAGGATGGAGCTGTAGCTATTGCCATGGAGAACAACGCATGTAAACAGTTCATTTGTGCCACTCATGAGATTCCTGAACAGCTGAAAGAAAAGGATGTTAAAGTAATCATTTTTGTGATTCTTCCAACTTTAATCTTCTTAACTATAGATTTTGGTCAGAATGTGGACACAACTCTATCAAGATATCATTCCTAATCTCCAAGGAATTTTATATCCATTAAAAGTACGTCATTATTATCGTAGGTGTGACCAATTTATTCTTGTTTGCAGAGTTACTCACAGGATTTCGACATACGCAAATGCGTTTTAACAGCTTTCCGAGATAGGGTGGTTGTCAAGGTAAGAGCCTTCTGGTACTGTATGAAAAAAAACCTATTTCTTCCAGTTGATTGAAGGTTTCGAAGAAATACCGGAGCTGGAAAGTATGCTCTTCACCTTACTACTAGAAACTGATGCTGATAATGAAGCTTATAAGCGTTTCTCATATTTAGCAAAGAAGACCATTAACACCAAAGTGAGGCGTACTTTCTTATAATCATCACCTAATATTTCTATTTAGGTGGACAATGAGATTGAAGAACCCGCTCCAGTAAAACATCGCTCGAAAACACTACCAAATAAGCAAAAAAGAACAGTAACATGGCAGGATATGAGGAAATCAGCCACGTTCTCAGCATAATAACTTCCTTACGCATAATTCACTCTGTATAAAGAAAAGAAACGAATAAACAGTTAAACCCCAAAATGGCTCTCATACATCTAATCGTGAACAACCAGATCTTGTCTGATCTCATTGCAAAAATGAAAGTTCACGCTTTCCATCTCGGTAAATGCAAACAGGCGGGAAAACTGCGGGACATTGAATTTTCGAATCTTTGTCCAATTTTGATAAGTCGTGAAGAGAGAGGTTGGTGCTCTGGGGGTGAATTTCATACTTATCAAAGGCATTTCATCTCTTTATTGCTTCACCAACCAATAAATTTATCATTAAAAGATGATTTTCAGAATTGTTTTCATGTATTCAAGCATTCTACATACATATCATTTCAAACATTTTATTTTAATGAATATGGAGAAAAAAATAAAAGTTTTTGAGACCAACGGGTAAGAGAGAGGAAAAGAAAGAGAAAAGAGAGAGAGAGAGAGGGAGAGGAAGAGAAAGAGAAAAGAGAGAGAGAAAAAGAGAGAGAGAGAGAGACAGAGTAATGTTGATAAGAGAGTAGCATAGTGCAGAAGACGGATGGAAAGATGAGAAATATCTCGAATCATTACATGTTTGAGTTGTCGAAAATAAATCAAAAAACTTTTTCAAAGTTTGTTCAAAAATGGTGAAATGGTGACATATAGTTGGTAGGTAAAGCTGATTTCGTTGCGAAACAGATCTAGATGCATTACAAACAATAGAACTTTTCTTCAACGCGTTCGCATTCATCACATTCAACACGGCAGCAATAGTGAAACTTGCAATTACATTTATCCTTTACATAGCTCACTTTTCTTTCATACCCTCGATTACAGCACATCTGAAAATAATGAAGTTGCTTTTGCAATGTCTTATGTGAATAAATTACAATCTGACATCCATCTACTCCTTGCGATGCGATATTACATTCGCGTCCTCTGGTACCCAATATGCCTCGAGTTGAATCAGCATCGCAAAAATCAGGAGAAGGTTTGAGGTAAACCTGCAAAAGATTGAAATGCTTATTATTTTTCATGGACATCTCTCTACTTTCTCATTTATTTTCGGTCATTCTGCTAAGAAAATTGATATGAAAGTCGTTGGCTTCTTATCGAATACCGCGGATTTTTAATTGTTTAATAATTTGTCTTTCTTACATATGCTTTGACAGTTTTCAGATAAAGACAAGCTTTTTATTTCCTCAAGAATAGATGGGAGGCGATGACCAGAAACTCACCAAATCGGCATTCGTGTGTCGTTTGAAATGTGTATGCTTCATGATAATTTTTTGTTTTTCGTCTTCTTCAACGACATTTACCTGCAATCGTGGGAGATAAAAGTATTTGCTATGAAAAACTACCTCTGAGGCTCCATCAAACTTATCTTTGATGATCGAACCTATTTCTCTGAAATTGAGTTTTTGCGATATACTAGGCATAAGTCGCACAAACCTGAAAGAGGGCATGCTCTCCCAGCATGTTTTCACTTCACAGGACCCACTCATCCCGTGGCATTTACACTCTCGTCGTAAACTTTTCTCTAAAACCTGGAAACAAAACATACATTATGTTTAACTTTCTCTGATTATTATGCTTTTTGATATTGTCTATTCACTGATGATTGTAAAAATTGATAAAAAAAAATTTTTTGCCTGCTGTTAGCAAAGGCCATCAGCTAGACAGACTGGAAATCAGAGAAACATGGACATTACTGATTTTTCAAAGAAAAACAACCAAATTTCAAATAGTACTAGTCGTGAATCATTTACCTGACGTCCAGCTCTATTATTATGTAAATTAACTAAATTGGTGTCAGGATCATTACTTCTGTTTTTAGATTTCTCAGCGGCATCAACGAATTCACGGGATATGGCAATTCCGTACTGAATGTGATCCGAACATCCCATGAGGTCAAAACCCTGTAAGCGTATAATTCTGTTCTTGCTGTTTTCATGTCCTCAGATAATCTCTCCGAATGCCTAAGTTCCAACCTGCCGTTTAGATATATCACATCCACATTGATCTCCGTTCAATCCACGAGCACAATCTCGGGTAACTCTTCAATCAATCAATTACTCTATTCGGCTTAGAAAAATCTAACTTGTAAGCAACAGCAGCTGATGATAAAGCATGCACAAATGCTGATTCACGAGTTCCTTCACTCAATAAAACTCCATTGATCAGTTCCCGAGAAGAAGGATTAATCAATGAACAATTCCATCTTTAAAAGTAAAAAAATGACAAAACTATTTGGCGCCAAAACCTTCTTTTATAAAATTGAAATTGACATTCAGTGTAGGCGTCTTTGGCTCCTGTTTGGATGCTACGCATCAAGCGAGGGTTTTGACGACAGAATCTGAAAATCCGAATTAGGTCGAGGAAGTTGTAAGTTATCTGACTTTATTTGTTTTCTGTTCAATCCTCTGAGGTTCTTGCATGTGGTACTAATGCGTTTAAGATCAACTTGGCTACCTGCCAAACCAACTGTTCTGTAAAAAACGAACACACAGTTCAACCAAATATGTTTGAGAATGTATGTAACAGGAAACTTACAACCATGAAAATGCAGAAATGTGTAGAAAAAGATGTAAGATGTAGACAACTACCAGGATTTTCATTCTTTTGCATTTACAGCATGCTATAGAAGATTACTGTAAATTTAATTATACTTATAAAAAATATAATACGAAAGCTGGGAACATAAGATATGAAGGAAATAATGCTGTGGAGGATTTGTCCATTTCTGCTCATTTCCTAATTTATGACCATAGATGGGTGTTGTAAATGAGAAACATATATGGCTAAAACGGATGGATTGTATGACGGATTGAAGCCCGAAGTGAATCTGACTGTCGGATTATAATGCGACCTCCCAAAAGGCTATTGCTGTAAGCGCTATTGAGACACAATGCTCAAGCAACTAGGTTCCGAAGATATTGAAGCAACGAATGCATAACTAACAGGGTCCTCATACCTTGATCACATTGGCTAGGACAATTTCAGATGAACATTTTCATCTTTATCATCTGTTGTACATATACACTTAATGATCAAAAACTGATAGGGCTTTTGTTTAACCAACAATTAGATGGATATTATTAGAGGGAGATGAAATGAAATCATAGAAAGTAGGCTGGATAGATAACTGGCGGCTTAGAAATGCTGACGAAGAAAAGAAGAATGTTGGATGTGTGGACTGAGGTTGTAAATCAGGATTAGCAACGGGGCCGCCAAATCACGAACAGCCACACTGAGAGGGTTCGATGTGAATGAAATAAAGAAATCAGAAGGATGGACTATAGGAATAGAGGATAATGATTGCATAAAATAATGAGAGTGGAAAAGAAAAGGAGAAAATGAGAAAGGAAAAATGAAAGATGGTCCAAGTACTGTTTTGAAACCCCACAACAGCCTCTGCTAGCCAGATGAATAAGTCTACGAAGAGAGAAGCAACCGTTCAACACATGTTTTACGTAATTAAATGACTCATCCTTGCCACGTGAATGACGTGAGCTCACGTAAAAAAGACGACAACCTTCTGTTTTCAGTCAAACATTTGAATATTTCAAATTAACTAGGAAATCAATAAAAATTTATTGGAATAAGGATGTTGCAGAAAAGAAATGAAAAAACTTTCATACGATACAAGATATTGTAAGAGTCTTTGTTACGAGAAACATCTATCGAATTGTGAAAAAAAAGGAAAAAACTTCCTTCCGTCCTGACCGTAGCCTCTGTGGCCATCTCTCACATATTTCTGCCCTTCTTTCATATGTTCTTCACTCTCTTCACTTCACCAACTGTTTTTCATAAAAATTTTTTCATATAAGTAAAAGTATTTGAAGATGTGAGAAAAGAAAAGCCATAAAATTCATCCAGGATGATTTAGTGATGTCTTTGACAATCATTTACTCTCACACTATCTACACGCTCCCCGTTTCTTACACTATTTCATCTAATAGAGAAACCATCGAAAACACAAAATGTAGAAAATGATCATCTTTAGAAGAAGTCATTCACATCTACCCGTTGTTGCCGTTTCATGGCATGAGAAAAGTCTACTTCATCATCATGATCTGAATCGTCTTCCTCTATTCCTTTAGAAGTTAACCGTGCAACACCCATTTCATCACAGATCTTGAAAAACATTAGAAGTTAGAAAATTAACTTTACTCCTATTCATTATACCTTGTTCATCGTATCTTCACCAATGTATGATATAATATCATAATTCGGTTGTTGCTTCAGTAGTTGCGTGACACATCGGTACGCCTGAAAACTCTTTTCAGCATTTGATCTTTTCATACCAGAAAACGTACGGCGCTCCAACTTTGTTGTTTTATATGATGGTCAATCAATAGAGTGAAAATGTTGTTTGGACGAATGATATCATCGATTGTCGCTTCCTCAGCCAAAGTCGTTAATAACCTCACACCTTCAGTTTGATCGTTCGTGTAAACTCTTGGAAGGAATGAGAACATTTGAGATATCAATTTGTTACCCTTTGATTTGCTTGAATTTGAGTATTTGATCCAGATGGCGGCGAACTCGTTGTTGCAAGGAGTTCATACTGTTCGAAGTTTTACCAGATTTTTCTGCTTTTTCTGTAAGCGGGGCAAAGAGTTTTATGATGTGACTCTAACTTATACCCAGAACTTGAGCTGCTTGCATGAGAGCACCTTCGGCTTGATCAAACTGGCTCCAATTTTCAATTTCCATCTGATCGATTTTTCATATTTCATAAGCCCATCAAGAGAACTTACATGAGCGCAGGACACATAAAAATTGGCTAAATGTTCGGGTGATTGTGATTTGGTGTAGAAGGTTTCGATGTCTTTCATTAACTCCGCATTACCTTGCCAATCAACACTCTCAAATTATTACAATTATGTTCAATGCTGCGACTCATCTTACTTGCAAAAAGTTTGCGGCTAAAATATATATTTCTTTGCTCCTTGCTGTATTGGCAAAAAATCTTATTTTCTGTACATCTCCTGTTTTGAGCAGAGCTTTCATCGCCTGTAATCATGAAATGAGAAGGACCATATCGCTCTCTGAATAGTTCATGTCTTCGCATTTAAACTGTACTGCTGCATTTTCAGATTATTGATTTAACAGAAGTTTTGAGCTTAACAAACTAATTACCTTAGTTTTATCACCCGCTTGGGTATATTTTTTAGCAGCGATTGTGTATAAAGCTTGCTGCAAGCATACATCACCAATCTCCATCAGGATGTCTTTTCTTTCGTTGACATTCGGGGTTGTTTCTAAAACATTTAGGTTGTTTTTTGGATAACTGTTAGATCAAGACCTTTGGTTGGTGTCATCAGTTCTCCAATTTTCTCTGTAACTGATACATTCTTCCGTCGACATAGTTGTAAAGCTGATTTGAACTAAAGATCCGAAGGATCAACGTTTTCTCTCATTTTCTCACCTCCTTTGCTAAACATAGCAACTCTACAGCTTTCTCATAGTTTTGATTTGATTCGAAGAACTCCGCTGCCCTCTGTTCAATGGAAATAATGACCGGACTGTTGTTTTTTCTCACCTTCAAAGTGCTAGAGTCTGTTGTTGAGTCCAAATCTTTTGCCACCAGGTCCAATGCACTGAATTGCTCAGTGCGGAAAGCTAAGTCCAGAGCTCGACCAATCATTCCAGCCTATAAACAGTTGATTGCATAGAACAATTTCAATATGCACACCTTATGGTAGAGCATAACTGCTTTATGTGCATAACCTGGTAAATCCTCATAGTACTTAGCAGCTTCCACTAGTTCACTTCCTCCAGCCATTAAGCACAAATTCGCAAGCTTATCTTTCATTCCGTGAGCCTAGATCAAGAGTTAAATTATGCGTGATACATACTTACTTTAGCCAGTCGAATGGCGCTACTGAATGCATGAGCCTTTGTGTAGAAGTTAACAGCATCCTCAAAGTTTTCTGCGCTCTCATAAGTTTTAGCCATGTGGTAGCAAGCAGATTTGTTCGAAGTTTGCAGAGCTTGAGTGCTTGCCTAGATGAACTGACATGAGTTTTCGTTTTAAAGTTTCGTTTCACTTCTTGTGTTTTACCCATATTAGCCATTATTCGAACAACGTTATATGAATCTTGAGCAATCGTATAGAAATTGATAGCTCCCTCCATTTCACCGATACTCTCTAGATAACGAGCCCACCATTTGTATAGCTCCCTGAACATACATAACTTATGAAGTTCCACGTACTTATATTTACGGATCTCTTTTTTTTCTTATGTAAGTCTCCAACGCTTTTGGATTGTCTTGTAGCATCCTAGTCACTTCAAACTGATGTGTCTCTGATTGCTCATAACTATTTAGGTTGATTATTACAGACATTAAAAATATAGTAACGCACTTATCGATAGCTCCATCATGAGCACCCATTGACTCTAAGTATTTTGCGTAACTGTAGTGCGTATTCCTGAGATGTATCCTATCTTTTTTCTCAGCAATAGAAAAAGCCTTGAATAAACGCAGAATGACATCATATTAGAGAAAAACTTACATGATTCCAACTATTCTGCGCTTGATCTATCTTATTCACCATGTCAAAACGATCGTTGGTTGCGTAGAGAGCTTCCGCTTCATCCTTCATCAATAAGCTCACTAACAACAAAAATAGAATATAACATACCAACATACCCAACTCTATTGCTATTGCTGCGCATTGCATATCCTCACTTTCACCTGAATGACTGAATTAATACGGAAAACATGAACTTAAAACCCTTTCTTTGAGCTTCTCTTAGTGCTCGCGCGCCACGAACGTTTTTCATATGACCTAAGCATACAGCTGCCACATCTAATCTTCTTGTTTTAACACTCATTGATGCCATTTGCTCCCAGACAGAATCACTGGAAAAACTTGAATATTGGAGATATTTCTGATATGGAGCTCGGAATGAGGCAAAACTACTTTTTTTGTACTGGCCAAAAACTAGAAAAATTCATTTGAAAAGGAAGAAGTGCGGTAAACGGTTGAATTCCACCATGAGAACAAGGATGATGACATAGAGAAATATAGAATAACAATGAAAATGTTCTCATTATTCAGAATACCGTCAAAATCTGAGAAAACCGATTTTGAGGCTGAAAAATCACATTCGTCAGGGCTCTGGCGGATCAGGAAAAATGAAAAATTAGGAAAAGAGGCCATTTTTTGATATCTTAGCAAATCGAACACGGTGGTTCGCATGGTGTAAAGCACTTCTTATAAATCCGCTGTTTCAAGAAGTTATAGCCTTATCAAGATGTGGAGCTTTACCGTATCAGGGTAGCACCAGGTCTAAGATTAGCCGTCTTCCATGGTATGGGCTGATTCAAATTGTAAGTACATTAGCAGATTTCCTTTTTCGGCTAGAACCATATTCAGCCCAGAAACAAAGTTTTTTTCTTCTCTACACATAGAGAAGGGATTGGTTGAATAGAAAATCATGGAAGATTCGAGATATTCCTGATATGGAGCTCGGAATGAGGCAAAACTACTTTTTTTGTACTGGCCAAAAACTAGAAAAATTCATTTGAAAAGGAAGAAGTGCGGTGAGCAGTGGAAAATGGTTGGTGACGACAGGTTCATGTGTTTGTAATTGTCGTACCTTTTGATGAATTTGATGGCTTTGAACGCTTCGTCCATATGACCGAGCGTTAGGAATAATGAAAAATCAAGCATTCCTTTTCTCGTGTCTTCATCACAATCCTCTATTCCTATAAATTCTCTGAGGGTTTTGGCGACAACAACGCGAGCAACAGTTTTTTCCCCTCTCTGATCTTCATCATCAAATTCTGTCTGAATAGTGCTACTGTTAAATGGATGGAATTTTAAGGTCTATACCTTTTTGAGGAAATATAAATAAGGAACTGAAATTCCAATCAGTTTGTCGCATATCTGAGATTTTTTCTGTAAATCGTGGAGTTGCAAGCCGTGTTCGGCTGTGATGAACATCGAGAGAATATAGGAGTCTTCCTTAAACGGCATTTGTAGTTTTTTATTCTGTCTCAACTTATCACGATTTCGTATGTGGATGGAATAGCCTCAACTACCAAATATCTTGAGTCGTTCTCATCCCATTGTAGAGCTCCAGGATGATGATGCATCATTCGAAACCTCGTTTTCTCTTTTTCCATTTTTCTAAGAGGTTTTATTCCGTATATATTAGAATTAATCTACCTGGCGGCTGCTGTGACAGGTCGAACAGAGGAAGTGTTTGCCATTTCTGCCTCAGCTTCATACTCCTGTTGATCTGTCATTCCTTTATCGAAGCTGAAGTACATTACATGATCCGATTCGGCATCCCATATAACAACTTGGTTACTCAGCTTCGAGTGAGTCTATAGGTATTGAGCGTAATTATTAGCGTGTTGTTTTCAAACTTCGTAATAAGTAAAAGCTACTCTGTTTCCCAAATTGTTTATTTTGATTGTGGCGAACTTGTGGAAGTTTGGAAGTGATTCAATTACATACTTAGAATGATATTCCTGTCTAGCCTCTCTGAAAATGGATTTAAAAATAAAAATTTAATTTCTTTACATGTACTCACTTTTTCGTCAAACTGCATATGCGGATGAAGCCATTTGTAGTCCCTATTGTTAAACAGTTTCTATTCAAGTTCATCATTGCAGGATCTCCTTCCATTTCCGGTAAAGACAATATTTGCTTCACAGTACCCTTAATCAAAACTAATATTCACAACAATTGATTTTTATGTGGCATCAGTCTAGAAACGTTTTGTCTCTATTCTTCATAGTTTCATATTGAGGAACAGGATTGATTTTAATATTTGAAGATGTTTGTTATTCTTTTTCACCTGAATTGTACGAGCATTGATTTTGTCTCCTTCGATACAGTACAAGGTATGTTGATATACTATGACGCCAGAAGAAGCACACGCAAATGAAGCAGATTGTAAAGTTGCTAAGGATGTCTGCACATCAAATGCCATTATCTAAGCAACGCGAATATCATAAATAAAGAAAACAAACATACAGTTTCTTTATTCCAGACAACCATTTGCTTTTCAGACACATGAACTCCGATAGGAGTGAAAGGAACTTTAAGCTCTTGCGTGACAGACGTTACTACGTTGAGAAGGATGAAAGTTGATGCTGATGATTGAATGGCCGCAACCTTAAAAATCAGGAGATGTTTATATTTTGGGAGAGTATGACCTTATTATGGAAGGAAATGATATGTTGTTCGTCATTGAGAATTGTGATGTTAGCTCCTGTATTTACGGCTAAAGATCCATTTAAAGGAGACCAACGGAGACTCTTGATCTTCAATGACCAGGTTGAATATATAAGAAAATATAAAATTAAGGTCTGATACCTGTGAGGACATTTCATGTGAGTTCTGTAATTTCCAAGTGTTCTCGATTGATTTCTCGTGCGGACGCTTTCGCCAGTTGGCTACCTTCCCTTCTAGAGTTCCAGCAGATATTACTCCTAATCACAAAAAAAAACCTCAGAGATATATAACAAACACTGACCCTTTTTAGAACAAAACCCTAGACAGATACAGACATCAGAAGATGAGAATCCTTTTGTCGTTTGTAATGCAATGGTTCCATGCTCTTCCGACTCCAAATCCCAGACTCGTATATCTTTCTCATAATAGGAGATTAGGAGGATATTTTCATTCAATAGTAATCTGTAATTATCGAATTTCCCACTCAGTTTCACCTGAAATAACAACAAATTTATTTATATTTTCATACAAAGGTCCCACTTTAAACTTTTCTTGGAATTTTTCATTCTCGCAAGTTATATGATGCAACATTACGTCTTGACTCAAAGCTATTAATAATCGTTTTTCTTCATAGAAACCAAGAAAATGAACAGTCGTGTCGAACTGGAATTTGTTTTTTTGATAATCTTAAGAAACATTCTCATCTGACCGTATGAACAATCTTAATCTCTCCTGTTTCATGTATAGAATGAAGGTTGTGATTGTCTCCAACAATGAGAAAGTTCGTTCCATGAACTTTTCTCTTCATTACCACACTCTGAACAACATATTATTCTATTCATATCCCTATATCTCTTATACCTTTTTCGGTTTTTCTTTTTCATCTACTCCTTGTCCTTTCTTATCATCTTCAATAGCGAAACCCACGTCTTTTTTCGGCTCATTTGTTACTCTGACAGTAACATCATAATTTGCTTTTCAAATATTTGTTCATACTCGTAGAATAACTTCTTACAACAAGCTATTGGGGTTTCTTCTATAGAGTATTCACCCAGTTTCACCACACCATTAGTGTCTTTTCTTGGCAAAAACGAATACAGTGAAACGATTCCGTCCTATTTATACTGTTTTTATATTAACTTCTCCCGCTTACCTCACGAACAGTTACGAAGCTCTTGCCATTATAGCTCCAGTCCACATGAAAAATGGAGGAAGAGCTTTCGTTTTCCACAGTGTGTTCTGCAAAAAATTGTTCAGTTTTTTTAAGCCCTCGAGTTCTCTTTCAAGCTTTCATTTATCTCCATCTTGAGTTGCGACAATCTTTTTTCTTTCGATTTTTTGAGCGTTCGAAGTCTTTTGAAGTTAGAGTAGGAGAGGTAAAGAGACATTCTCCCCTTTTATTAACCACTTGTCGTGTCTCGTAGGAGTTGCTTACATGTCTCTAGCGAACCAAAAAGATCAAAACCGTTTTGTTTGTTGTGAAAGGTCTTTTTTGAAACTTTTTCACGATTTCACGTGTTTTGCAAGTTGTTGAAATGATCACCGAATTCTTCTTGGGCGTTTGTCAAGTTCACACATCCATCCTGCCAGCCGATAATAAGATACGGTTCTATGGGGTTCCAACTGAAGCAAGTTGGTTTGAAGTTACGAGCAATAGGAGTAATCGATGCCTTTTGACCCTTAAAGGAAAAGAAAAATATGATATTCTGGAAGGTAACATTACATTATTCATAAAGAAATCAATTTGTCCCATAGTTTCATCAACTTTCGAAGCTAAAGCGAGCCAAGTCGAGCAGCTCGACCATTCCATGAACAGATGCTCCATTTCTTTTCTGAAAGTTTTTTTTCTTAAAACTCTTTAAATAACAGGAAATATGTAGAGAACATTGTGTTTTCGATACACACATCGAATAGTATGAGAGGAACATATACGTCGTCATGACAACGCGTCCTTGTTGCCTTCCTACAACGGTCAGTAGTTTAATCGCATGGCAGGGTGGAGTCTGTAATTGTTTTTGTCTTTCAATTCAAATCATTTTTGTTTCTCAACTTTTATTGAATTAAAGTTATTCAATGGAAAATAGAATATAATCAATAGCTATCTGTAATGTACAAACAAGGATTATACGAGATTTGAGCGTTATGTTATTCGACTCCAGTCGAAATCATCTTCTGAATCATCTTCTACATTAACAATTTCTTCTTCATTCAAGTTTGGAGCAGAAACATCTATAATGATATCGGCATCAGCGTTTGTAGTTGATACTGCATTTGCAGGCAATATTGTTGAATTGACATCATGACGAGCAGCTGAAATTAGCATAAATTACACGTTACGTATCTTTATAGTTATTCTCAATAAACGAAAGCAGAGAACGGTTGACTCTCGAGTGAATATTTCTTTAATTCATATGCATTACCTTTACTTGATGATGTTTGATTTGTATGTGATGTAGTGTGAATGAGAGATTGAATGTTATGGAAGGAGCCTGATTTGCCTGCGAAAATAAAAAAAAGTGATTTTATTTTTCAGTTGACAATACAAATATTGTCAATAGATGTTACCTAAGTTTTGGGCGTGTGCCAATGAGACGCCTGCAGCCTCAAGTGCTATTTTAGCAAAGTTGCGCTGAAAAGTTTATATAGGAATATTATAATAAAATATTCAAAGCTTACATTTTTATTCAGGTTATCGCGTTCATTAGAGAATAAATCCTCGTAAACCTTTTTGAATGAGGCTGTTAAGTCTTGTGATGCAAATAGGCTCAATCCTGAGATATCTTCTTCTTCTTCATCATCATCCAAGTTAGAGATTTTTTGCGAAAACTTCTTCAAAGCAGTGTCATCTACTTTCATGGGTTGTTGATAAGCTTGAGTGATTGAGCTCGTTCTCATGGCTGAGTTCGAAACAGTTTGCACGGATGATACCGGACAAGCGGACGGTTTAGAAGTACAAGAGGACACAGAGCATGTTGAGGAATTCGAAGAAGAGGGAGACCAGACATTTGGAGACGATGAAAACCGTTGCAATGAGTTCGGTGTGGATGAAGGTGGGAGCGAAGGTGATGGCGATTGCGATGCATTGTTTGTTGACGAGGAAACAATTTGGGCTGAGACTTCCTCCGTTTCATCAGTGTCTAAAAATCAGTTCAAACTGATAGATGTTCGAAAAGAGAAGAAATTCCTTGCCAATTTTGAACATTCGCTTGATGATTGGATTAATTCTTGTTTGACTTTGGAACAATTTCGGATTTTTGTGAAGCTCAACGTGATCGTTGTCCAGAACCCATGTGAATGCTGATTTACAACTATAAATGGAAAACAATTGGCTAACTCACATTTTTCTCCTTGAACTTTATCCATTTTTCTGAAAATTCTGCTGACAGATAGGTTATGACGAATTGAATTCTATAATAGTTGATAAAAATATATTGAGCTCGGTACAAACGCTACCTTCCAGGATGAGTTCTTCGTATTCCGATAATAGTCGAAATTACTGGTGATGTAAGAGTAAATTTCACTCAAAGTACATCTGAAATATGGACTTTCTCACAGAAAATTATATAAGCGAAGAAACCTTTTGCGAGGGGAAGCCATTACTGCTTGATATATGAGTTGAGTGTAAGATAACACGGGCTTATTGGGGTCTTTGAAGCGAACTCGTGTAGAATTTTTGGGGATTTGACGCGATGCCTGCAGTATGAATGGAATTTAACAGAAAAAAAGAAAAAAGTCTACCGATTGGTTGGATACTTCGTGAAACTTCTTATTTTCTGTGCGGTGAGATTCATAATTGGAATGTAAAGGTATCTGATTGGAGCTAGTGGTTGGCTGACTATGAGTTAAAAGAAGCCATGTTAGTTGCTGAAGGCTTGAGTTAAGTTCTGTCATTACCTGAAACGAAAAATATCTTTCAAATGGATGAAATGGAAAAGAGAGAAGAAAAGATATTAAGAAAAGATCTATCGAAATGAAGAACAATTAAGCTTTTAGCTAAATAAGGCGGCTGCTTATTTGGTCTGTTCACCTGGCATGACATCGATGCGGAGCGAAAGCTATGCCAAGCCTCCAGCAACATATTGATTAGGCCAGGTATGGAGGGCTTCTCAAGAGCACTTCCCTCATACTCAACATAACTTTCCTTATAAGGTATGCTTGTTTGCTCATAAGAATTAACATAATATGCTGATTTCTTGATAAAAAGGAGTTATATACGTAGTTGGAAATGGACAAGAGGGAGTGTTTAATGCATTGTTCTTCTAATCCCTTTTACATTTAATAATAAAAATTTATCTCTCAAGTTTTCATTCTCTTTCTTTCTACTCATTCTTATAATATACAACTTTCTTTAGCTATGTTTTATTATAAGCCTGCCATAATTGAGCTCTATCTTTCATCACTTTCGAGAGCATTTTTTTCATCTCACTTCACCTTTTCGCCTTCCTGTCATCTTCTTTGTTTTATCGTTTTTTTTAGAATTTTTTATTTGTGGTAAACGTTTTTTATTTCAACTTCCTATTAGGTCATGATGACAAGGCTAAAGCTCATACAACCGGTTCCACTAAAGCCTGGGACAAGCTGTCCAGTCCAAGTGGTCTGGTTACGGAGCAGCAGCCCCGAGCTTGTTTACTTTTCTTTTAAGTCGTTGCTTCAACCGTCCCCCTACGTTTCTTAATCAAATTTTCGTTTATTCCTAAATCATGAGCTCCCGTTGGAGTGGACTTTGTAAGTTCCTCATATCTACTTCTTTTAATACAGTTCCCTTCTATAGCAGTAGAGCCGAGTAAGCCACTTAATGCTTTACCGACAGCCGACTATTCAAGTATAGTTCTATCGGCTAGCCAACCTGAGCCTGTACGTGCCGGATTGGTTGAAGAACGAGTTAACTGTATGAGTAGAAACTTAAAGATTGTGAAATTTATTCTTTTTTTTTCAGCCATAGATCCATCTTATTATGACTGTATCTACCGTCTGGCCAATCGGGCGAACGTCATTGTTGACCAATGTCACAAGTCGTTAGGCTGTTGTGAATCTGGTTGTTGCTCGAACACATCATGGTTTGCTAGTTGTTGTTTTATTCTAAAAATTTAAAAATTAAAGGAACGTCAAGTACGGATTTGCAGTAGCTTTGATAGTGTTATTTTGCTTATTAGTGATCGGAGGTGTTATCTTCACCCTATCGTGTTGGTTGATAAACCGAGCCAAAGACAAAAAGCTTAGGAAAGAGTTAAATGAGAGACAAGAAATTGAGGTGAGCGATTTGATAATTGATATATTCTAAGGAATATGTTTAAGTTTTCATCTGCACCAACGCCATTTTACGGAATCTCAAACCCACCAGCTGGCAATAATCTCCCGCCTATTTATTAACACGTATAATATTAATATAAATGTATATTTGTATAATTCACAATTGGCTTTGCTCATATCATTTCATATTGGTGAAAAAAAGAAGAATATAAATGTTTTCAAAGACCTCCTTTTCTCTCGTTGCCAAGACAACCACCTACCCACCATGTATTTCACGGAAATTTGCATTTTATCGATTACCTTCACAAAATGTCCGTACGACCTGGTGCAAGTAAGCCATCTACTAAACTCTCTGCCTCTGCTCTGGTAAGAATTATTTTTATAATTCAATTTAGTAGAATTTTCAAGAGTTATTTGTCATCGTTGGAAACAAATTCGAAAGCTTTGCAAAATAGCTTGAAGAATGAGAAAACAGGCAAAGTTGTTCCATCGTCCAATCCGAAACGAGGAAAACTAGAGTAGATTTCTCAAACTAGAAGATAATGAAATAATTCTGTTAGTTCAGTAAGTTGCGTACAATCTCGAAGAGCACCACAATATATGAAAGCACTAGCTTAGATTCTGACGATCAATTGAGGTGAACATGTAATTTAATTATGATTCTCTCATATGATATTTGCAGCGACGATTCATTTCTCAAAAACTCAATGGGCGGAGAAAAGATAATTTTGGATTTAGGACTTGATAGCTCGGAAGTTACTGCAAGTATTCTTCCAAAAGGGAAACCAGGTAATTTTTTCTCCAATTCACCTTTATTCAATATGAGGATTAGGAAATCAAGTTGGAAGGAAATCTTTGGTGGAAATAAGAGAATTACGAAACTCAATTGATCAATCATTGAAACCTGCGTTAAGCTTATTGGCCAAAAAGAACGAGCCAAAAGCTTCCACCAGCATGAGCAAAGCCCTAGAAACTGGAACAGAAAAGATATCTCCTCAAAAAGAAAAGTAAGTTTATTATACTTTCAATCATTTTCAATTCTCAAGGGTTCCAGAAAAAATATGAAAAAATCACCGTTTAACAAAAAGCAACTCAGCGACAGCTCAAGTGATCTAGAATCACTCGTTTTTCAAGTTTGTTCTTATAATTAATCAAAAATAATCGAAAGCGGTGCTTTAGGTTGCCTCAGATATTCCTGAACAGCTAAATCTCAACGAACGTCGCGTCTCATTCAAAGTGAACATGAGAAATTCTTTTTAGTTTCAATTATAATGCTTTTATTTCAGGCTGAGGAACTTTCATCAGCGTCGTCTATTACTTCCCGGTCTATAAGTTCCACTTCGAATTCCGCTTCTGAAGTGCCAGATTTCACAGCTCGATCTGTTGCTTCTACGTCCAGTACATCTAGTACGCTGAGATCAGCCTCATCCTCCTCTACATCAACTACAACCAATTCAACGTCGTCCTCAACTACTTCCTCATCAACTTCTTCTTCATCTACCATCAAAAAATCTCCCCCGAAGAGAAAAGGAAGGAGTGCAAAGATAACTTCAACCTCATCTTCAACCTCATCCTCTTCGTCTACCCCTTCGAAAGCGTCATCTTCACTTCTTCTTCCTACCAGATCGCTATTGGCCATTCATGTTCCAGAAGAAAAAGAAATAAGAACACGTCCAGAATCAGAATTAAGCAGCTTACACAGCGAACAAGAAATATCAGATGACGAAGTTAAGAGGGAAGAAAATGCGAAAGAGCAGCAAGAAGAAATTAGAAAAACGTAGGAAACGATCGGTTTGAGACATTTTCAATTTGAAATAACTGCAGAACAATCAAGGAAGCTGACATTGAATTAACTTTTGGAGAAAGAACTCAAGAATCAAACCAACTTTCAACAACTGAACAGAGAATGCAAAATATCAATATGTATTCAGTGTCGGTGAACAGAGAACAGTCAACACAAACATCTTCAAGAGTAAGTTCTTATACAACTTAAGCAAGAAAATTACGATATGTCACAGGTAGACGCAATTAAACATCTGCCTTCTTTCAATTATGTTGAAGTGCCAAGCGATAGTAGTGCAGTAAATCTTGATTATTTTGTAAAACAAATCATCTCGCAGCATATTCAACTGATTCGGAAAAGCAACGAAGATGAATGGAGAAGCATTTGTGAATGGACACGGATTGTGAACGAGGAAATCAGATCGTTCCAGCCCCGTACTAAACAGCGGTTAATGGAAACTATAGAAAAACGATATAAAACTCAATAAATGTTCTTATGTGCAACCGCTTTCAATGTTTCTCAAAAGTAAAATGAAATAGACGATTGAAACAGTACGCAGCTTTGATAGCATAATGGTCAATCTGTTTGGAAAAAAAATGGACCTGAACACTGTCGCTGTTGCTGATGGATGAAGCGAATATGAATATATAGATAGATATGCATATGATTCGTCTGTTACTTCCAAAGAACAGTTAATGATTTAATTTTTCGTTTTTTCCAGTAAATAAGAATCGTTATTTAGCTTTAAAGCTCTCTTATAGGTTCTTTAATCTGCAACCATTTTCAAAATATTAATAAATAAACAGGATTAGCGCTGTGTTTACGACATAATCATCACATTACAGATAATTGAGAAAACAACATTTAATAGAAACCAATCAGTGATTGCCACGTGGATTTACGCTGGTATATGCTAATCACTTGGCGGCTTCTTCCATTTGAAAAAAAGATGCGCATCCATAACAATGAATACAATCTTACAGTTCGAAGTTAGTACGATGAGAGAAAGCAAGAACATACTATCTACCGATGGGAAAACTCATAACTCCTTCTTCAAAATAATATCTTCTCGTTGAGTGCAGAACAAGGCCAATTTCTATTACAGCTTTACATGCAGTATTTCGCTTCTATGTAATAGAAGGATAGACTGTGCCGAAGTAAGTGAATCTCCAACCTTTTTTTAAATAATATCATAAAGAAAGGTGTTGTGAATGAACATGTGAAATCTATAGCTTAAAAGACATGTTTCGATATATATCCACAAAGATAACTCAATTGTTTTACTAATATTCAAGCCTTGCTATCCACAAGCATGCGATAACTGATACGTGAGCAGACGTCTAAACGAAAATGTCATATTTATCGTAAGCTTAATAGCATACAATATAAGAACTTGTTATTGTTTTCATTATTCTATTAAAAATCATTACAGTTTTTTCAACACAGTCAGAGAAAGATGGCTCCGAAGAAAGATGAGAAAAAGGAAGAAGCTTCAATACCGGCTGTAGTTCTACTGGATAGTTTCGATGAGCGGATGTATCCTTGTTCTAGAGAATTGGGATCTTGGGTAAATATTACAAACTGAAAGCGTAACGGTTCCTTGTAGTGCTTACAAAAGATTTGCAATTCACGTCTGATTGATTATACTTTATCTTGGATATTGAGGACCGATGTTAAGAGAGTAATACTGCTAATAAGTGAGAAGAATATGGAAGCTGGACAGGACGTAGAGAAGTAATTTCAATGATTGAATCGTAAATGAAAGAACTTCTATAGACAATGGCAATCATTATTCGATTCTATAACTTTAGTTTGGTGTAAAAATGCTATGAGCATTGGAGATTGCCTTCGAGAATTAGAAAGTAGAGCTCTTGTTAATGGTTTGCAGACTTATGTGTCATTGATATCCATATCCTGTTCTAGGCGACTTTCTTCTTGTTTCTAATCCGGGTGTTCTGACTTCTTCCACTCTCTCAAATGAAATTATGAATTTCAAGTCAGTTTCCATGAGGTTACGATTTGAAAGTTGCTCTATAATACAGAAAGCGGAGACAAGAAGATAAGAATAACGTTATGACTCAAATTTACTCGAATGCCATCACGCCTAGTAAAACTGTAATAGGTGTTCATAGTGAATCTAAAAGACTCCGACTGTTTCATTGTGATGAGGAATCAGAAACTTTAGATATTGATAAAGTAAGTCTGCTTTTCTGAACCTCTATTCATTCATATTCATATAGGTACATTTCCTTGAAGATGTTGTTGTACGTCGTGATATAACTTTCACTGGGATATCTATATGTTCATTGAATATTTTAGCTCAATTCAGTGATAACTTCGATTTCCAAGAAATCGATGATGTGATAAGGTATTAAATCTCCAACTTACCATGTCTTGATTCTTTCTCTACAGAGAGTTGTTAGTTAATGAAGAATTGTTACTTCAAAAAATTCATATCGAAATTCTGGAAAACAATGAAGCTGGTTTTATGATAAGGTAGGTTTATCCATTATCTTGTTCATGCAATTAAGCATTTCAGAGATTATACTGATTTATTGTTGGCTAGCACAATGCTACAGGAGAATTGGTTCTTCCCGCTAACATCGCGAGATTTGGTGAGTTTCATTTTTTTTCTTTTTTTAAAGCATATGCTTAGATTACTGATGTTGCTCGTTACATGGATGATAACAACGAAAACAGAGGAGGTTTCAAGCCATCGTAAGTGTTCAAATTCTACTAATAATAGAGTAATATACAGCAAATACTTACCATCCAACGTTATTCTCGGTCCAAAAACTGAAGTGGGCAGCTCTTCTCTCTTGTCTAATGCTGTCATCGAACGATCCACTGTGATAGGTTACTCTCTTGAAAAGTGTATTCAATACAATGAGTGTTAAGGAAATGATTGTGTTATTGAAAATGCTATAATTGGCAAAAACTGTACGATCAAAGATGGAGTAAAAATTCGAGAAGCTATAATTGGTGACAATGTAGTTATTGAGGCTAACATATGCTTACCGATGAAATGCATAGCTCTTGGAGTATGTTTTATTGTTATTCACTTTCTAAATCCTTCATTGTAGGGACGGATAACTAATGTCACCGATATATCTTCAGTAGGAGTTCTTTCCTTGCAAAAGCCCGATGAAGATTGTGACGAAACAATCCGCGTTGTTGATAGAAATGGTTTATTTTGTATTTCGTGAGGATTTTTAAAAATATTTTTCAGGACAGTATTTGTGGTTCCTAAAGAATGGTACATCTTTCTGGGGTACTAAGAATAGAAGAAGAACACTGTCCGTATTATCGGAAACAAATTTAACAGAGAGAGATGTATGAAAATAAATGGTCTCCCATGTTCATCCAGAAGCTATTTTAGGAGGCATCTGATGACGATGAAGAAGAAGAAGATGAAGTTGAGCTTGATGGACAGTTCCTCGTTGAGGTTGTGGAGAGTATGGAGAGAATTCAGCAGTTGCAAAACAGTGAGAGACATGTATGCAGTTTTTTTCAATACCCTCAATCATACACCATATTCAGATGAGTAATCTTATTTTGGAAATCAATTCTTCAAAACTTGCCTACAACATATCAATGGAAGATGTTGCTAAAAATGTGTTTTATGCTTTCTTAGGACTACCAGGTAACGAAACGATTGTTGGGATTAAAGCGGTATCTCTCTCATGCGAGTTCTCGATATGAATCATTATGTTATAGTTGGCTACCAAATGGAAAGCTCTGTTTCAAAATTATTATGACCCTATCAAAAATCAAATTCAATTACTGTTAGCGATTGAGGTTAGATGAACTGCAAGATTTGATCTAATTTATAATTTCAGGAACGTTTTAAAGAGCATGAAACTTTTAGAAATAAAGTTGCTAAGCTTGTTCATATACTTTATAATGACTTGGACATTTTGGAAGAGGTTTGACGACTTCGCAGTTTTCTATTGTTTGATTGCGTATAGGAAGCTATATTGGAATGGGCCAACTCTATGCCTCAAGACTCAGAGTTAAGAACAGTTATGAAACCTATAGTTGATTGGTTACAAGAAGATGAGGATGAAGACGACGACGACGAAGAAGAAGAAGACTGACATAAATTACTTTAATTTCTGCCTGCCTGACTGGGTTTTATTGTTTTTATTGTTTTAAAGATTATATATTTGAACATGACGCTTTCTCATCACATCAGGTTTCATTATCCTTTCATTCCTCATCATATGCGTTCGAGTTGTATACAGTTTCTTAGTCAAGCAGATGTCATCTTTTCAATTAGTGCACTTCGATGGATCAATCAAACGAAACAGAAATCAGGAAGCAATTTTGAAATCATGGGTGAGTGCTTAAGATATGAAAGAAACTAAGTCTTTGTAGAATGAACGAGATCAGTTTTTGAGAAGCTTAGAGGAAAAGCGGCAGTTACGATCAAAAGGTTCATAATTTTGTGCCAAACCATCTAGATGCATATATTTTCCAGAAACTAAGCAGAAGTCAGCAGCCACCGTTATACAAAGATGCTGGAAATCATATTTTAACAAAGTAAATGCTCATAAAAGGCTGAGACAAGAGTTCATTAATCAATCAACAAACACCCCTGAGGTAGTCTCTGTTTCTACTTTGAAACTTTTAAGGTTTTTTCATAGGATGTATCATATCAAATGAAACGAATTAACTTATTCTATCGAAATGATTACCCGGAAGATACCACACGCCTAGTATGTTCTAGTGAATTGAAATCAATTGTCTCATCTCTTTTGTAGATCACAGTTTGCTCAAACTATTTATCCATTTGTGACGGCTCTCAAAATAAGCACCTTTTTCCTCCGAGTTTGAAAAGCCAATTTATTGCACGTGTCATACAGTTTCTAACTCAAGCTCCTACCTCTGAGCGTTTGAATATTCCCCTACGGCAAGTTTTCGATGACCTATTGTTTTTGAAGTCTGTGTTTTCAGGTTTTTAGAGAAATTTTTAACTAAGGATGAAGTTGTTCTCGCTGCCAAGGTTACTGTTTAACATTTGCTTATTAATTGAAAAGAATCTTTTAGAATAAGTATTTCGAAGCATTTATACACGTTTTATGGCTTTCAAGTAATATGAATATCTCAGAAATCAAGGTTCATGAAGAAAGGAACTTATCTGATACATTTGATTATTAACAGGTTGAAACACTACTTACACCTAGATTGAAAACATTCTTCGACTTTTTGCTTCTACCCTTCAATGTCTGCGCTCCTGAAACAAGGTTTTGTTTTTTCTGAAGCATCTTTTGAAATTTTGAAGCTGCAGGCAAGAACTAACTAACTACTTGTTGCGCGATATATTATCTTCAAGCCATTTGGTGTGTGTTATAACTTTAGTTATACCACAATTAGTTTTGTCTCCTGGAAGCCAGTGAGTTATGGTTCGAAATGATTCCTGAATAGTTCATCATTAGAATGTCTGTTGTCAACATAACTGAAGCACTGTTGAAAGTTCATGAAGAAGTGAAAGATTCAAATCGTAGAATGATTGCTCTGTACGTTGGTATTGCTTTTGTTCTGAAGCCAAACACAGGTAAACTCTTGAAACTTATGTCTCTTGCATTGCATTTTACAGATGAAGAAGCTTTCGCACTGTTCCATCTTTTAGCTACTCTTCTGCCGACCAGTGTGGTGAATGAACCTGAAGATGACGTTAGTTCTCTTTGTCATACTAACCAAAATATAACCTTTAGATTGGCAAGTTTGTTAAAATGACAATTCAAGAAGGCTTTCAATCAGATTACTTCATTAATATCTTCTTATTAGCATGTAAGTCTCGAAATACAACATCTAAGAAACCATCTTAGTGAGTTCATCCAAAACGGCGATAGAAGATATGCTAACTTTCCATACTCATGGAGTTCAAGAATCACTGTTCGAAGTTTATTGTGAAAAGTCTTTGCCAGACGCATATCAGGTTCTGATTAGGTAGTAGTGATAGCTGGTTTTGTCAACTCTCTTGATTTTCCAGATTATTTGAATACATTTTGAGCTTCGAAGTGGATAATGCTGAAAAATCCTTCTCTAGTATTTCCAGAAAATCGAAAGAAAACACTCTCATTAATTCTTTAAAATTAGGTAGTATCTTACAAGCAAACTGATCACCCAGATGTAATAGGCTGGGTAAAAACAATCAAGAATGCTGAAAACTTCCGCTCAGCAATCTCACTGTGTTCCTACATTTTTGTTGGAATTCTGCGGAACAGTGTGGACGATGATTTCGATCTTCAAGGAATACTACACGATTTCATTTCAGACTTTATTCAAATATCTCAAGAATTCTTGTATGTGCCAGCATGAGTAATTTTACGAAAAATTCTATCTTAGGGAGCTTTGTCTTGGTCTGATTGATCTTGCTTTTCCTGATGATTTCTGGTGTTCCTCGAGTGTGGCTAAACAGAAACTGGAGAATGCCTCTCAGGTACGAAAGCAAACGTAACGATTTACTAATGATAGTTTCATCAGTGGTCTGGTATGTATCAAGACCTTGTTCTAGCTCTGCGTGCAATATTCCAAAAAAATAATCGAGTTCATTTCTTGCCACACAATTTCTGGACTTCGCATAATCGACAGGTTGATAAAGGCATGAAAACTTATTTATTATTTGTGCCTCAGGTTGTTGTAAACAAGAAAATATGGTACCATAACAGACGGTTCAATTCTTTGAGACAAAGACAACAAAGTTTTGCTTTTGTTCGGTCAGATGAAAACAAAATTCGATGTTAGACTTCTTATTCAGATTTCTTCGTTTTGACAAGCCCAATGCAGACGAGAGTGATAGCGATACTGAAGCAACTGAAGAAGTTTTCATATTTGTTGTTTTCAAATATTTTTTTTCTCTGTTTCAGGAACAACCTAGTAATACAGATTTGAGAAATTTGAGTATTATAAGAAATATTCCTTTTGTGGTTCCATTCGAACAGCGTTTAATTGTCAGACAGCTGAACCAGAGTTACCTTACTAAAACTGTTTATTTTCAGATATTCCGGGACCTCTTGAGGCATGACAAAAACGCATCAGGAATAGATAATGTCACTTTCTCATGTGAGTGATTCTTCTGAGCAAACTTTTCATACACTCTTTCATTTCAGTTTCTTCTGGGCATGCAATTTCAGTACGCCGACAACATCTATATGAAGATGCTTTCGAAGCTTTAACCCCTGGAAAGTGTATGCTCTATATTGCCAAAGTTCGATAATCATTCATTATATGTTTAGGTCCCGACTTGAGACAGAATATTAGAGTCTCCATGATTAATTGGATTGGTTTAGACGAAATCGGACAGGATGGTGGAGGCATTTTCAGGTTCAATTAAAGAGATAATTGTTATTTATGAATAGTTTAGAGAGTTTCTCTCAGAGCTACTTAAAACTGGGTTCGATCCTAACCGTGGCTTGTTTAAGTATACTCATGATAGGTGATAGTAGTACTATTGTAGTGAATGCATTGAAAAGCTTTTTAGATTTTTGTATCCGAATCCAGATGCCATGCTATTATTCCCCCATAACTTTTCACAGCATTACTATTTCTTGGGTCGTATGGTTGCAAAGGTTGACCACTCCTATTGTCTGGTTAACCAGTAACTTTTATAAAACTGTTGCAGTTAATTTATGAAGGGTTGATGATGGATATGCACTTTGCCGATTTTTTCTTGGTTCAGCTATTGAGTACTAAAAACAAACCTTTCATGGATTTGGAACACATGAAGTCCTACGATCCAACTATATACAGGTTGATTATAACAGTGTCGTTTTGTACTAACTACCTTCTATTCAGCCATCTCTATGATTTACTTCATGCTACGGAAGAGGAGATCGATGCGCTTGCTTTGGATTTCAGTGTGACCGTAGACCACTTCAATGCCATCAAAGTAATGTTATTTTCTCAAGGCATTTATATAACTCTCCATTCAGACTGTTGATTTGAAACCAAACGGTCGAAATGTTCTCGTTACTCATAAAAACAGAATTGAGTATGTCCAACTGTATGTAAATTATTTTCTGTATAAGCAGGTTTTTTTTTCTGCCCATTCCTTCATTATAACCTAAAATCCCAGATCGAGCTGATAATTGATGCAATGCGGGCTGGTGTCAACGATGTAATTAACCCATCATGGTTGGCTATGTTCGACTCTGCAGAGCTTCAGATCATAGTGCGTATAAATTTGTTATCTAATAGAGCCCTTCAATCCTAAACTATAATATTTAAACATTGTTTTGTAGGTAAGCGGAGTCGACGTTGATATTGATGTGGATGACTTGATTACCCATTCTTCGATATACTACACAGGAGATATGTTTTATTTTTGTTTTACGTTTCTCCCTTTCAAACTTGATCTAATGTTATAATTTTTTACTGGATGAAGACACTGAATATATCAGAATGTTTTGGAATGTTGTGAAGTCTCTGACGAGTACGGAAAAAGCTTTATTTCTCAAGTAAGTGGTATTTCCAAAAGTCTAACAATCGATGATTACAGATTCATCACGGGTTGTTCCAGGCCACCTATTGGTGGTTTCCGTTACCTTCAACCAAAAATAGGCATTCAAGTGGTATGAGCAAAGTTGAAAATTTATATAATTAACACATAATATATTGAAGGCCAATGGTTCCGATGACCTGCTTCCTACAAGTGCTACGTGTATGAATTTATTCAAAATACCAAAATATAAAACAAGACAAATTTTGGAAGATAAGCTGAGGTGATTAACAAACTAATGGTTTGCTAAAATATTTATATTTTTAGATATGCTATCAACTCTGGGGCAGGTTTTGAGTTGCAATGAGGAGCGTTGTTTTTTTTGTATAAATAAAGTAATCAATTTCAAAAAGCTCAAAACATTTTTATTGGTAAAAAATAGCGAATAGCGATGCTGTCTATAACGTAAATAGTTGTATCGTTCACGTTATTGAGAATTATTTTAGTAGCAATGCAGGAGCACAGATCGGTTGTAAAGACAAACATTCTACAATTCTAGATAGAAGCTGTCTTTCTGAATATCAAAACTTCCAAATTTTACACAAATATACGGACAAAAACTTTATTCTTGTATATCTTCCGCAAATTACATCTGCCTTGCGATAGGCTTATTAGCAATATATACTTTGTATATCAATTTAAATTGGTGAAAAGGTTGAAAATTGAACTGACTTAGAGATCATAAAATCATAATGAAATAGATTATTAATTATTAATACGATTAATAAGAATCATATAGCAGCAAACGCTATGTTACGGATTTTCTGTGGTGGAATGTAGTCATCCTAAAGTATTAAGATAATCAACCAAAACCATATCTAAGTTTACCTCATATTCTTGAATAAAAGTTGAAGAAGTACTTTTTCTTCCGGGTTTCCTAACAGGATTGACGACATCAGTCTTTATCTAATAAACAGCATGAGAAATTTTATGACTCCTCTACATCAAACCTTTATAACTGGAACTAAAAACTCCATCTCTTTGTAATATTCAAAGTTCTTGTCGTGGATGGATTTTCTGAACTTGGCTACAGTAGTCAACCATACAATTTTCATGCGCCTGAATTGTAGAAGGCTGGATTTAATTATATATAAGAGTTAACTAACTGCAGAGGCCAAACATCACTACAACCAACTTTTCTACCAATCTCTTCCCAGGCATCTTCAACTTGTTGAACTTCAAGCTTGGTCGAAAATTTGGGAGCCCAGAGCACTAAACACGGTTATGGGACAATCCAGACAATAAAACTATTACCTGGTACTAGTCTGATCAATGAAGCAAGAAGCATAACTATTTCTTTTTCACTTCTTCGATCCTCCGATTTCTTCTTAAAAATTTCTTCAGCGTTGGTTGTTAGAACCGTAGAACTCGGATAATCTGCCAAGCTGTTGACAATTGGCATAGGAAGCATTCCAAAGGGATTGAAGAAGCTCTTCTGCGGCAAGCTTGTCATTCGAGGTGGCAATGGCGGCGGCTGAGTGTTCTCATTAGCTGGTTCATCTGTATTAATATAAATTTTTCAAATTAGTTCTTTTATAATAATACCATAATAAGTTTCCTGAAAAGAATTAGTGCCTTCGAGGCTCGTCGAGTCTGTAACATTATTCACCTTACCTAAAAAAAAAGAATAGAGGAATAAAGAAATAAATATAGCTACTTGGATCTGCCGGAACAGCTTCACAACACTTTGCGAAACTCGAAGGAATATCTAACAAAGATTTCATAAAGAAGTTCGCAGGCTTATCATTTTTAACGATCAGTTCTTTTCCATTCTTTCTTCCTGGATCACATGGAACATCCAGATCAGCAATATCAAAATCAATATCAATATGAGTATCTGTAAAAAAATCGACGTAATTATATCAATCGTCACATATTCCATTAATTGAAGTATACCTGCTGGAGCGGCTATACTAGGTTGCACTGGCTGTTTTTTCTCATTGGGGCCTTTTGGAAATGGTGGGGCGTTAGCTGGAAGAAAATAATATTTCAAGTTATAAGTTACAAAAAACTCACCCAAATATGCTGATACATCTAACGGAATTACAGGTCTGCCTTGGAACGGAGGAAAAGGAAACCCACCTAAGAACGGTCGAAACAATAATGAAGTTATTTAGTTACCTGGGCTAGAAAGGACTGCTCCTTCTCCAAACTTTGGAATTGGTTGCCCATTCTTTAATACTCATAACTTGCTGTATTCAGATTAAACACCCACCTTTCTGGATTGTTGAATGGCTAAAACTTCTCTCGGTGGATTCCCCAAAGGGTATGCTCCATAACCTGGTTCTAAAACAATAAACGGGTAAAAGAAAAATAAGAAGATTCTATCCGACCATATCCAAAAATTGGAGGAGGAGAAGGACCAGAGTTATCCAGTTTTGCCTGATGCTGCCCCATGGATGACCGAACTCCGTACAACTCTTCAAATCGAGTGACCATACTCATAGTTTTTGAGCGCACTACAATTCATAAACCCCGCCATTATTTACAGTAACACTTGTCATGTATATTAATCAGAAGATAAGAGATCACAATCTTTATTTTCAACATAAATTACCATTTTGAGAAATCATTCAAAGAGGATTTGGCAAACTTCTGTTTCTTTATCTCAGATTCACCTCCACTCTGTAATGGAAGTGGTTAATCGAAACGCTCACACAAATAGTACTTACCGCACTAACAGCACTGGATACACGTTTATTTTGAGGATTTATATACTTGCCGATCCCACTACTGAAAGTTTTCGGTTTCACTACTTTATCCTTTTCTTTCTGCTGCTCTCCGTTTTTATCTGAACATAGAACGTAGTTTGTTATCAAATTGAGTACCAATTACCTTTGTTCAATATATCAGCTCTTTCTTTCTGAACCTCTTCTTCAGCTTCTTGGAATGGGTCCACGAAAACTTCAGCTCTCATGAATTGCACTGGCTGAGAACGAATGATTATTACTAGAATGAAAATGCACAGTACTTCCAAAGGTCGGTCTTTCGAATCCTCTGTTGGAACTCGTTCAATAGATGTCAGAGTTTCTTGCCCCCCAACAACTCTGCCAAAAATGGTATGCTTCTTATCCAAATACTTACATGGGCGGAACGTGATGAAACTGAAAAACAGAAATGAGAACCTTTGATCATGAGAGTTAACTACAATTGAGATTGATTGGTATTGGTTCCCTTGTTGGCCATACTTAACACTCCTCGAGCATCGTGTGATAAACCCTGAATTGGAGCATATTTAAGTAGTTCTATTATTCAGCACTAACCGATACAAACTCATCGGCAAAAGGTTTCTTCCAAATCGACTCTCCACCAGTTCCTTCACCTGTTGGATCTCCTCCTTGCATCTACAAGGAGATAAAGATTTGTGATTTGGAGAAAACATTACCATGAAATTCTTAATAATACGATGGAAAATTGTTCCGTTATAATATCCTTTACTACAATGAGTGAGAAAATTTTCGCAAGCCTTGGGTGCTTTCGTGCAATACCTCAAAGATATTAAGTACGCGAGTAATTAAAAGTGTCTTCTTACAGTTCTAAGTTGATATGTCCATGATTAGTAACAAGCCTAACATAGCCATTCTTTTTCACACGAGCATAACGAACAACATCATCAGCTAATACAGCAGCCTTTTGCTTGGTGATAGGTGCCATGGTTGTAGAAGTGAAGCCAGCAGCCACATGTCCTTGACTAAAACGAGATACGTTATAATGCATTCAAATGTTACCTTTTCTTACCTGTAATGAGCAGCATTGATCTCATCAGCAACTACTTCTTTCAACGCTTCAATCTACACAGAAAAAAACTTCAACGAAACTGGGGAGTTTTCCTACCTTTTTAGGAACATAGTCTTTCTTCAACTGATCGAGAGCTTCTTTTGTTTCATTGTTCATCCTACGGATAAAGAATGCGGGCTTCTACAGAAAAAAATTCAAGTTGAAAACACGAAGAACTCATAGACCTGCATTTCTTTCTTTTCTCTAGCAATTTCTTCTTTAGTTTTTGCATTCAACTTCACATGGTGGAATTCTTCGATGTTAAACTTTTCAACTTTATTGGGATCCTTAAATTATAAAATACTTCAAGTTCTTGCAAAAGACTGAACCTGTAAAGTGATAATGTCCGTCCTTAAGAAAGGCATATCTGTGAGCAAGTCTTTGAAATGGTTGTTTTTGATGTTTAATTCCTAGAACATTGGACTTCCGTAGGTGGAGAGTTGTTGGAAAATCAAACATACATAAACAGCTTCATACGAGTATACATTTCCTGTAGGTCTGATAACCACTATGTGACTATTTTCCGACAATGTGTTGAACATAATTGGACAACGGAAGTTTCCTGAAACAATAAGAATACATACTTCCAACTCTGGAAATAGTTAACCTTCATTATCTTTTTGGAACTTCAATGGAATCAACTCGTTCAGAGTGAGTTTTTTACCAGAACAGGGATCTACACCATGTTTCTTTATATATGCAGTGACTGCGCTGAAAAAAATACAGTTAATAAAAGATAATTATGGAAAGTTACTTAATATCGAAAATATGTCCTTCGGGAGAGCACGCAGGGGTTTCAAAAGGTAAAAGCGATAAAGCACAATGGTTGAGAGGTAACTTCTTAAAGTCAGCTCTTCTCTTCCGTGTTCCTTTATCTGAACAAAACGATTTCAACTATCAACTGATTCTTAATTAGGTATACCATCTTTGTGACCACCAAATTCTTTCCATTCCGTGCTTGTTAAATATCTTTAAAAGGAGAATAAAGTTTTTTTTAAAAAGTCAACTCACAGTTTATCCTTTTGATGTTGTTTTTTTCCCATATTCTAAATGGAGAAGGTCCTCAGTAAAATATAAACAGGAAATAAATTTAATATTATGAGCAAAATGTAAATTATTGGCTTCCAGCAGGTCGAGAACGCTCTAGTGCAAAATGGATTGAAACGCGCTCCATGTACAATGGAAAACATTCAAATGGCGTGAACATTGAAGTTGCAAAAGCTTAATCATTATGTGGATATGTTGATAAAAACATATTTATTTGAACGATAGCATTAAGAAGGAGATCGAGAACAAAAATGGTAGTTCTGATGAGCAGATTGAAAATCACATATATTGGAATTCCTTGGTTCTAGTGTATGTCTTAGAGTGCTTCGTTATGCGACCATCCTCTTCTTCACGTGTAAGTAATTGCATTAGACGATTACCTTTACGTACAAACGAACGAAACTGCTGAAGATAGTTTTTGAATCTAATTTAAGACTTTATTGGAACGTACCTTTTTCCCAAGCTTCTTTTTACTCTCCATTGGAGCCAATTGATAGAGTATACCCATATTCAAATGATGACCCATTGTTGTTCTAGTTGTCATAACATCACCTTCTTCTATCAGCGTAACACCTTCGATAATATAGTTATGATAATATGATAATTTGATGGCACACCGGTGTTGCTGACAGTCATGAGTGCTGCTCTAGTTATTTGTTCTTCTCCCTTTGGAGCATACTGACGAACTGTGATGAATCCATTGGACTCATGAACATTGTATTGATCGTTATCTGCTACTGCTATGGATCTGAACAAGTATTGCTATATTTTATCTCAATTTTTCGATTGTGGAATCTACGTGTAGTTGATACTGGGTGTGCCGAACATCAATCCTTTGGCCACAGAAAAAGTAATTGTCTCGTTGTATCCATTGCTTTCCTCCATATCCAATGGAAAGTGGATAGTTCTATTTTTAAATCCTCCTGAATGATAAGTTTCAGAATCACGGTTTCAAAACTGTTGCAGGTGGATTTAATTAGCATAATTCGTTGTCGCTCATGTTCGAGTATCCACTAAGCTAATTGCACATCATTTTCATTTCTTAAGCGTGAAGGACGGTTGGGTGTTCCGTCTCGAGCAACAATAAATGTGATTTTCACATATTCATTTGTACCTCGCTGATGTGTTTGCCATTCTCCTAAAAGCCATGCGAGGGGTAAGAGTACTGGTGGTAACGGTGTTTCAGTTGTCACTTGAATCATTATTACAATTGAGATTTTTTATTTATTTCTTACGAGTTGTGTTGTCGAAAATACACTGCTCACAGGATGCCGCACAGTTCACGTCGAAGTAATCTGTTGTTCCTCTCATCAGCTCGCATTGCCCTTCACGTTTCCAAACTCGGCAAGAACCATATACATCTTGGCAAGGTCCTATCCTATATTGTTTTATACGTTTCATATTTTAAACTTACGATCACAGTTTTTCCCCATCCATCCTTTGGAGCAGTGACATTTGTAATCGTTAACAAGATCTGTACATCCAGCACCATTCATACAATGATTGTAGTTACACTCGTTAATTTCTTAAAGAACAGTTACAATTTCTCTCTATATAGTGTCATACCTCGTTCACAGTTGTTTCCACTAAAGCCTGGAAGGCATTTACAAGCAATTTCGTTGTTAGTTCTCATGATACATTCACCTCCGTTCAAGCATTGGCTCTTGGGGCACTCATCTGGTTTTGAATATTGATAAAAGTTCATTACAATAGTTTCTAAACGTTCTTATGAAATGTTGAAAACTTACATTGACAGTATGATCCCACATATCCTCTTTTGCATTTGCATGTGTAGCTACCCTTCATGTCATTGACACAATAGGAGCCTTCCAAGCATCCATGATTCACACATGCATCGGTTACTGTAAGTAATAACATCACAATGTATCTAATGACTTAATTCAACCGTTGCAAGTTGCTCCTATGAACCCTTTCTCACATTCACAAATAGTTTTACCATTTTCAACAACACAAACTCCCTGATTCTCACATGGATTGGCTTGTCGACAAATTTCTGAATATTTGCAGCTTACAGTGAGACAACGGGGGTAATTATAACCTTCTGGACCCATTGGAGAAACAAAATCTCTCTGCAGATGAGCATGAGAGTTTAGAAAGTGGACATCATCAGTATGTAGAGCAGTCTGTCTATCTGGAATATATTTTTTGAAGGTTCTCCTAGTCACATCGTTTATGATCTGATCTTCCGTGGCCACTACAGATGGTCTTGTCTGTAAAAAATAAATGTTTTTTAGTTTAGATTTGCAGCAACACACTTGTATAGTTGAAGGAAGTGTGATGGGCTCAGAGGGAAATACTGACGTTTTTGTAGGGATATTCGTGGAAAAAACATTAATTTCATCAAAAAGAGATGCATCAAACGGCAGAACGTTCGTGGACTCTTCAGGGCCTTCCTGCAGCTTAACTGTCCCATTCATGACTCCTTAAAGCATTCGGATGCCGATACAACGTCAATTCATATACCTTCCATAATGGCTTTTTCATTTTCATCAACTGTCATTTCAGTTGCTTTTTCTACTGGGAGTGATGGTTCTCTTTGTAGCTCAGTATTTTTCAGGATTTGTGTGGAAGGCTCTTCCGGCTTTGTACCAGGAGATGGTTTGACCGTGGAAACAGGTGGGGTTTGCAGTTCCACGGCAGGCGTGCTTTTCGTCGCTGAGGTAACATTGTTTCGAAGTTTCAGGAAAGCTGATGGAGGCGCCCATCTTTCCCAATACTCATTATTCTCTTTCGAAATTGTTAGTCTATGAAAACGGATCAGGGGATGATAATTAGAATTGGTTGAAAAACTTACATAAACTGGATTGAACCAAGATTGCGATGAGCTGTCCATAATAGATCCATTTCATATTTCTTATCATCGTTGATATGTGTAATGGAATTGTTGGAATTATACTTATTGCAATTCTGATAGTCAACTCCTGTTTTTGATTCGAGATTGAGAAATTGTTTGTTTGTGAAGGAAACTAACCGTAGAGAGACCATTGTCCAGTCTTAATAAACTGACCTCCTCGTAAAGAACCAATGATTTGCCCAGAATTTGTACTCAGACGGGATTGTAACAGAACTCCACGGAAGTGTTCAAATCCAAGTAAACGAACTAAAAAAAGTTCTTGTTTGTTTTTCATATGCTTTGATCATTACCTGTGTAAATTTCTCCTGGCGCATAAGAGTTGACTACCTGACCACTTTCATCCAAGATTGTAAGCTCTATAGGAGGCTCGCCTCGCCGAGGTTTGCCATGAAGACGATGATCCAGTCGCAGAGATTGTTGCATATTGCAAGAGTAGCCTGCATTCTCTATCAGACCTTCATCAAGAGATAGTTGAGTAGTTTGCCCATATATAGAAATAATTGACAATTTGATAATACATATAGTAAATATAAGTTTCATGGGGGAATATGTGTAGAATGTGGAGAAGTTTTAGAAAATGAGCGTGTCTTGTCTGTTCTTGAGCTTCTTCTTTTCTAACTTCTCTCTTTGTTGTTATGTTTTCTCTGTATACGTCTCTAGTTTTTCTACTTTCTTTACTGATTCATAGTAGGCGGAACAGTGGTGACAAGATCTAGGCTTGTTTTTAAAGACATTCGGATAACGTTTATGATGATGATTGAATGAGAATTAATCCTTAATCTATTTTCTTTTAATTAATTTTCTTTTTTTGCATTATAAGCAAGTTAAATACATTAGAGATTCTGGTTGTCAACAGCTTTTTACCCATAACAGTTCATTCATCATACTTCTTCAGCGGAGGTCATGCGATCTTCAGTTGAATAATCACAAATAAAAAAATTAAAATTTGAAAACAAGATTCTCTTTTATTACGTTTCTCCTATTCCTTATATAGTTCTCTGACAATTCACCCAAGAAGGAGGTCAATGTCAGTGGTAAAATAGGAAAAGAACGGTTACTTGGGGAGGGTAGAAGGTATATCCTTCTGAGAAACTATAACAGTCAGTCGTTTTTTTAATTTGTTCTTGTTGTCATTTTTTTTCTGGAACAAACTTTTCTGGAATAGTTATCTTTCCAGCTTTCATGAGGTCAACCTTTATTTTTCTTCTAACTTTCGCAGCTGCGAGCAGTGAATCCTGTCTATTATGCGATATATTCGATGACTCGTTAGAGGAACGTGAGGTTCCCAGAAGAGATGGTCCTTTTGTTAGTTTTTTCCTATCAGTCTCATTTCGTACTTTACCAAGATTCAGATTATGGTAGACAGTTCAGAGAGAGAAGATAAGAGTCAAGTGGTTCGAGTTGTAAGAAAACTCTCCGCGTTCTGTTCTAATTTTTATGTTTAAGAACAATGATGATGATGGTACCGACAGTGAAGCTGCGGAAATGATGAAGAAAGTGCCATCGATTTCTAATCTTGCCCAGAATCTGTTTGGAAGACTTCTAGGAATAGTAGGAGACAAGTTTGTCAAAGTATGTGCATTTTCTCTTACACACTTCTTCTGAAAATGAGTTTCAGACGCATCCTCATTCACACTTCGAGTCCTCGGTTCATATAAAGAAGAATGATAAATTAAACTTAAATATCAAAAATTCTAAGGAACAACCAGACAATATGTCACAATCAATATTTGGGTTGTTCGATTCTCTATCAGAGATCCCTGCTGCGCTTGATGGCCGTATAGATGGGTTAACTGCTGTAATAATTACTTTATTATCTTTATATCTCTCAGGCCTCATGTTTGTGTGAGGGAATTGAATGTTCACTTGGAAAGAACCAATGGTACTTACAATATTACCAAGAGATGCCAATGGTTCAGTCAAGCACAGAGATGCATTTCACGTCGTCAAACACCGGAGGTAGGCATAACTAAATAACTAGAATAATATAATTTCTTCAGGAATCTCTAGAGACAACAAGAATACAGGAGTGTTGTGGAGGCTATGAAACTGATGATATCATGAAGGGATGCTCTAAAAGTTGGTTTTGACCTTCATTCTGCATAGAATGAACTTCAGAAGTTACATTGAAGTCGCTGGAAGAAGTAATGACCAAATATAATATCTCTACCTCCGATATTGATGATAAAGCAGAAATGAAAACTTACATAATCAATCCAAACTCCGGAAAGGTGTTTTTCAACATGCTTTCATGAACAAAAATGTTTCTTCTAGGCGCTCGTTATAGATGGTATCAAGTCAGATTATGAAATGAGACCGGAGGATGATCTCAGTACAGTCAATGGACAACTTCTGCTCGTATCGCAGCCGACTCATAATACACCAGTTGTAAATTTCCTTTTCGAACACCGTACACTGTTTTTGATCTTCCAGCAAACTTATATTAATTGTGTTAGACTGAACAATGTCAACGTCAGGCTCCAAAACAATCTGCTACATATTGCAAACGATGATATAAAGCCAGCTTCTGAGAATTTACTCAACTTGCTGGAAACTGATGGACGTTTCACACAGTTCTCCAAATGTTTGTTTGATTTCATTTTGAGTTTGGTTTTTAAATACGTTTCTCTTTTAAGTATTGTCCAATACATCCAAAGTTTTGTTATCCTCCAATGATGCTGAACTAACTGTTCTTGCTTTTACTGACGATGTCTTCGCGAAACTACCAGAGAGACTCCAGCAACAAATCAGTCTGAAGAAAGCTTGTGTCGATGGTATAGCTGAATGTCTTTTTGTTTTACCGAAATCTTGAGTTTCAGATATTGATCGTTCTCACATTTTGCGTTCGTCTAGATGTGCCCACCAATTGGAAGAAGCTGTACTCATTGCTTTGACGGGGCAGATGTATCACTTGGAAAAAGCTGTTAGTTCCGAAGAAAAAAGCAAATTACTTAGTAATCTTCAGGATGGGCTTCTCAGAATTGGGAACGCTCGTATAATTGAGTCGAATCTAGTTGCCAAGAATGGAATAGTTCATGTTGTAGATAACCTTCTGATGAAGGAAGACTGTAAGCTTCTTATTGTTCTTCTTCCAATGTAGTTCTTTGAGTAATTCCATGGGAGGAAAATTTGAAGAGATACCACCCTGATTTGAGTGAAAGCTTGCAGCCATTGATCAGCAATATGGATGAACCAATAACCATATTTGTGCCACCTCAGAAGAACGAAAGCGAAGTTTGTTTGAAGCGTTTTCATTTCAAACTCAATTTTCTAGAGTCTGGACAATGTTCTTAGCAATGTGGTAATTGGGAAGCTGATATCCTTAACTGGTAATTCACCTTTCGCCGTTAATACAGCTTCAAATTCTTCGGTGCTCCTACAATTTTTGGAATTTCGTGATTATTGTTCTGTTTAAGATATTTGCTGGACGGTTCCAATCTACGAGTGCATTGAGCATCCGGCTTTCCGCTGGTCATTATTCAAGCGCAACACCACCGTTCCAGGTGTTTAAAACAAAAATTATTTTTACTTTTTCATATTTCAGATAGGATGCAGCAAGATAACTCGAACCAGTGTTTTCTCTTGCAATTCTGTACTTCACTTCGTTGATAAGGTTAGCTCGCATTAGTGCTGTCTTGTTGGAGGTTGGATATCTTATAGGAAATTGATAGCCCTACCCAAACCATTGACGAATTCTTGAATTCACGTGACAATTTGAAGCTTTTCCATGAGTTTATAAGTCAGCGTTTTCGATTTCTTATGTACCATTTCTAGTCTTTACTCAAGCAGCGAAGAGAGTAAGTATGACCATTCGAAGCATATCAGAACAGTTTTTGCACCTTCGAATGATGCTTTTTCGAAAAACGGTTACAGACGTCTTCAGCAAAGCTCATCCTCTGTTGAAACGTTCATACGACGTCATACTGTAGAACGTTGGTTTACGTTTTATTAGATATAGTTAACTTGATATATGTTATAGGGCCGTTATGTGACGATGATATGAGACATAAAAAGAATGAAATCCGTGTCGAAATCATTTCAAATAGGAATGGCGAAGGGCTTCGAGTACAACCACGAAGTGGAGATTTGTATGTCGAGGAAGCAAAAATTGAGGTTTGACCCCGATGAAAAACTAGAATTTTCTATTTAATAATTAAAAATGAATTAAATTTACAAATGTGCGTGAAAAAAATCGGTTAACTGTTACAATATACCAGTTTGTATTGGTCGCTTGAGAAGAGTTGCATTGGGTGAGAGATGTGTGTGAGAGAGAGAGAGAGAGAGAGGAGTGAGTCTTCTTATTGCTTATTCTTTACATCAAAAACAATAGTGTTAATAAAATGTCTTTGTTTAGGAGTATCATGTTCTAAGTGATGGGATAGTTTATGTTGTTGATTCATCTATTAACAAGAGTGAACAACGCTACCAACCTGACTCTTCCATGCGCTCTGCCACTGATCTATTGAACATATTTCATTAATTCTAATAAGTTTTTTATTATTTAAAATTTTTATTTTGAGTGAAATTGTATGAGAGGGAGTTATGAATAAAAACATGTCAATTATGAACTTGTTCAGACTCCATGCATGAGTAAACAAAAATTTCCAATAATACCGTAAACGTACCTCTTCTTGCCCTCCATTCGCTCATACGCCTCCTGGCTACAACATGATGCTTTCAAGTTCTTGTTTGTTTACACAATACTCTGAACGATTGGAATGGGAAAATGTGTTAGAACGAAAGAAAAAAAAGCTTTTATTTCTTCTAAAACAAAGAACATCCTGCTATCTATTTATTTCTTTAGAAAAAAAAAGGAGAAAAGCCAAAATGAAAAGATAAGTGAAATTGCTCAAAGGGGAAACTAGAAAGTCCTTTAATCGTTGTAGGGATCACCGAATTTGTTTCACAGGGATAAGAATGTTATAATTCCGTTAATATATTTCTCCATTAAAGGTTTGATAAGGCGTATAAGATTTCTAAATGCTCGCGCAATTATTTTGTCGACAGTAAAACTACTGGGTTAGAAATATTAAGTTATAAGCTATAGCTTATTCACGAGTATCAATGAAGCGCATTTCTTCACCAGTGTGCACAACCTCTGGACGTCCAGTTTTCAACTCTTCTGGAGCTTGGATACCTCGTAAAATCCGCTGAAAGTTGAGAGATTAATTATCATTAAGTAAGTTGATTCGTTTACGTCTTTGAAGGATAAATCTCTATTGCAGAAGAGGAGATAATATAATGCGTAACCGGGGATAACGACCATGGAGCATGATGATAAGAGGAATCCAAAAGCATTAGCCCACCACGGGTAATCTCTACGATCTGGGTATTGAATTGGATGATAGAAAATAATGCAGAGCAAGAAGAGTATCTTCAAATGAAGTAGGTTATGACGAGATAGCATATCATTACAAACCAAGCTGGTGGCTGGAGCAGCATACTTCCAGATGAAGATCCATCCCTTAGATACTGTATGTCCAGTCATTTCTTTTAGTGCTGCTCGGACTCTTGCAGCTCCGAAGCCCCACGATAACCCAACGACTTCGAAGAATACCACGAAGAGAAGAGCATATCCACTAGCACCGTATGCATCAACAACGGTGAGCCAGTAAACGCCAGCCTTAATGCGTTGTGATCTGAGCAAAGTTATATGCCAATTGTTTTACCCGCGTGACCATGGGTATGCCAAGAATGAAAAAGAACAAACAAATAACTCCTAGAGATTCTTTTCGATATTTCCTCAAGTAGTTAGGGAATGTATCTTCAAGAGCTGTAAATAATCCTTCTAACATACAGACCTAAAATATTTTTGTACTCTTGGCTTGGCTGTAGGGAGTAGCAAACCTGACTGTCAAGACCGAGAATAGTGATCATCAAGAAGAATAGGAAAGCCCATACTTGTTTAAGTGGGAGATTGCTTGAAACTTCAGGGTAAGCTAAGAAGGCCAGTCCGACTCCTAAATTCAATAGCTTTAACTTTGAACATATGGATATAAGGTAAACCTGGTTTAACAATTTCTGCAATGTCTTTGTTTGCAACGACAGACATATATCCGAGAATAGAGAACACAGCGAATCCAGCCAAGATTGAGGTTGAACCATTGATGAAGCACATAATGAAGCCATCACTTAATAAGCGAAGTTAATATTTAACATTGACCTCCACTGAAGTTACCGGAAGCAATTGTGGTTGAACTTGTTGTGTGATCCAAGAGCAATCAAGGCTCCGAAACCAACACCATATGAGTAGAATACCTTAATACAAATAAGGTTGTCATGAATAGTACACTGAGTACCTGAGTTCCAGCATCTTTCCATACAGTAATATCTGATAGCCGTGTTATGTTCGGTTTCAGATAGTAGTATATTCCTGTAGAAGCTCCTTCTAGTGTCAATCCACGGATCAGAAGAACAATAATCAAGAAATAAGGGAACAGTGCACAGAAGTAGACGAACTGTAAGATTGTTTTTGTTGTCCCGAAAGAATTTAATTCGTCCTACTTTTCTGGCTTGTGTTATTCCTTTCCATAAAGCAAAATAGATAATAAGCCAGGCACCCAGCATTATGAAGAATAATTCCCATTGAATTCCTCCTAATGTGGAAATATCGGACGTCTGTTGCAGTACACGATTTCTGTAAGGAGAAAAATAGAATCTCAGCTGTTTTCAATCTATTTTCCTAGTCTTGAAATTTTTTCACTAGTTCTCGTCAACTGCTTTCTGTTGAATGAGAAAACTCAAAGATGGACTTACTCCCAGAACTGTTCAACAGATGACTGAGTCATATCACCAGTCGTTGATAGGTTTTGGACGATCTTGAGGAGTGCCGATTGGTTTTCACGTCCCGTTATACAAGTGTGATCATTCCTAATTTTGAATAATTTTTCAAGACTATCAAAGTAAGAAAATGATTACCAGTAGTTGGTACATGTCTCCCATGGGAATGTGGAGTTAAAAGATGAGATCATATAGAAAATTGCCCAGCTGACGATAACACAGAAGTATGCTATGCACATGAATGCTATCACAACATTTCCAATTCCCACTCCTTTGAGAGAAAGTTTATTCATTATGATCTCTGTTGATTGTTGAAAAACCTTTGAAAATAGGACACATTTGCCACATCTCCATAGCTCCTCTTTGAAGATATTGACCCATCGTTACTTCCATTATGAAAATTGGAACAGCCGCCAAACAGAAGAAAACAGCATAAGCCGCTAGAAACGATCCTCCACCGTTTTTGAAGCAAAGATATGGGAAACGCCAAACATTTCCTATTTTACTGTTAGAAAGTTTTCTTATTTACTGTCATCATACCTAATCCGACCGCATATGCAATCATGCTCATTAAGAAATCAAACTTTCCAGTCCACTGAAGACGTTCCATCTCTCCGTGCTCATTGTCATCACCTCCGTTGGTGTCAACGGCATTCTCTGTTGTTGATAACTGATGATGTTTAGCACCAGTCATCCTGAAAACATGTGTATTTCTATGAGAACAAAATCAAATACAAGACGAGTGAAGAATAAGAAGTAAGTGTGGAAAAGCATTCGTGATTCTTGTCAGAGAGCTTAAAGGAAGACTAGAAGTTGTGAATCGCTACAAACACAGCGTTCATTGAGGATTTTTGGAAGGAAAAAAATAAATCTTAGTTTATCAATTGCCAATCCTCTTTTAAATATGCATTTTGTGCAACAAAGTATTGGCAAAAACCTGTTTCAGCATTTTTTACCCCACATACACACACTCACATACAGAAACGTTTGATCTTTGATTCTTCTCTCCACCTTATGGAATTTAAATTTTTATTAATTGGACAAAATTGTTGCCAACAAAAGGTAAGCAAATGATGAGAAGTGAGTAGGGAGTAGGGATAGAGAGGGATTACTGCGAATCTGATTCGGATAATCAATCTTTGAAGTATCAAAACTTGAAGTCGCCAACGCCAGAGAACAGCCAAGGTTGACAGAGTTTTTGAACTTTCGATTCACTTAATGGTCTCTATGTTCAATCAGAATCTGGACGAAGATGAGAATGGTGATGAGGTTCATTTCTCTACTCCTCCTTCTTTCTGAAACTCCTCCCTACCTCCTCGTGTTCACAGTCCAGCTGCTACTTCTCTCTGGCCAACCGATTACGGTAGAATAACTTTCGGGATGAAAAAAAATGATTGTAAAATGAAAAAGTTTGAAAAGGACAAATATGTCATCTTTAAAGTAGAAAATTTAGTCATCGGGGCTCTCCCATCATACATTATAACCATTTTTTCTTTTCTAAAATGACTTTTGATGAACTTGGATGATTCATTTTTTCGGAAAAAGAGAATGAAAAAAACTATCTCTTCACTCGTATGTCTTTGTCTTCCGATGAATTGTGTGAAATAGGCACTGAGGTATTCCCCGGGATCTTTCTGTCTCTCACTCTCTCTCCTTCCCTCATTTTCATACTTACAGTTTCCTTATACCTCCCTCATCCCTACGTCTCTTTCGTACACAGTCTGTTTACTACATTGTCTTCTCTGCTATAGTGATTCTCTTAAATCTTATATCACTCGATGTTACTGTTCGTAAGTGTCTTACTCTCTGAAAACTCTCTTTCGTTCTCTATTGCCGTCTCTCAACCATTCTCACTATCTTCTCTCAACAGTCTTGAAAGCATTCAAAGTTGAAAAAACAGAAGAGAAACATAACAGGAAAATTCCTTTTTTCGTATAAAAATATGTCAACAGACAATTGAATTTATAAATAAATACGTGTAGATTTATGTGAAAAACTTGTTTTTTTTATTTCTTAAAAAAACAAGGTAAAGGAAGGAAGGAAGGAAGGAAGAAAAGAGTAAAATGAGATAAATGAAGAGAGAAATTACTTAACTTCAACATTGAAATGGAAATGGATGAAAGTTTCGAAGAGAAAATAGTTAAGAGAAAGGCTGGACCCGAGGAAGGAAGGGGGAGGAGCTGAAGGGAAAAATATTTGAACTTATTGTATGGATGGTTATTACGCCTGAATGATTTTTACAATAATTTATTGAAAATTACATTTGGTGCGGTAAAAAAGTTCTTTTTTTTTGTTGTTTTCTCTCTCTGTCCCTCTGTTTTTCTCTTACACTCTCTATATCGCACTGTTAGTGAGCGGTTGTTCTAGTTAGCAGCGGTCGTGCGGTGACAAGAAAAAGGAATTGTCTTCAATCAGTTTTTCAAGTATTTGAAGGAGTAATGATTGAAATTGAATGTAATTCATTCATAATAACACATTGCTTAAGGCAGGTTTTAAAATGAAGAAATGCAATGCAACAGCCATGGCACTGACTGTTGAAATGAAGTTGATGGGTAGTTGTTGAGTTAAGAAAAATGTCAAATCCTGAATGTTTTGTTCGTCTGGAATTCAACTGATTAACTAATTACTTAAGTCAATGTTTATAGATGGAAAGATAGACAGCTGAGAAAACCCTTTAAAAAAAACCTGTAACACCTTGTAGTGTTTGAAGATACGTTGATAATAGCCATAAAAAGAACTAAGAGAGAGAGAGAGAGAGAGAGAGAGAGAGAAAAGTGAAAGAGTAACGATAGATAGAGAGATGAACTCTTTGTAATTTGAGATTGAGGGAACGAGGAAATAGAGAAGATAAGCAACCGCTCACTGCGCATTAAACTTTCAAAAATGAAATAGTAACGAACCATGTGCCACCACGTGTGGGTGGGCGTGTATGCTTCATGTAATGAGGAGAAGAAGGGGCGTACCTCACGTACCTTTTCACGTAAAATTAGCATGAATAAGACCAAGAGAGAGAGAGAGAGAGAGATAGTCAAGTCAAATGTTTCAAACTGAATTAGCAACATTCGAACTGAAAGGCATGTTTTGAGGAACTGGGGCAAAAAAGGAAAGATTGAGAATAAGAAACTGTAAGAGAAAAGCTTTTAAATGAAAATGAAAAAGGGAGAGAGGGAAGAGAGTGTTTGAAAGGACGCCCAGAAGGCCTTTTAATACAAAAATCATGAAATTCTTTGAGAAAAAAATATTTTTTTGTTAGTAAATAGATGGAAAAGTTTGAGAGAAAACTATTCAATTGAAATACAAACAGACTGATCGTTTTTGAATTTTTTTATTGAAAAATTTCACATTATATGAGTTAGGAAGTGGGGGACACTCTGGTAAGCTTATGCTTTCAGATGTTCCTTAAGAAACTTGATGTTCCAAGCTCTCATGAAGTCAGTTGTTGACGGACAACCCTTATCCGTGTGCATTCCTCGAAATATTGCAAGATCCGTCCATGAAGGCTTCACAAATCATACACTCTCTTCTATTCCATATCATTCTTTCTATCCTTGTAAATGTGTATCTTTCTCTCTCTCTCTCTCTCTCTCTCTCTCTCTCTCTTTCTCGTTCTCTCTCTAAATCACCTGGACACTCTATTCTATTCCATAGCTTTCTTTCTTTCCTTGTAAAGGTGTATCTTCCTCTCTCTCTCTCTTTCTTTCTCTCTATTTGTCTCTCTTACGTGTTTC